GATACCCCACCCAGATGCAAAACCTTTATCCACATCTTGGTCCCAGTGCAGGGGGAAAAGCCACTTAGGCAGCGCAGCAGCTGAGCCAGGGAAGCCCAAGTGAGCGGGAAGAGCCCCCAGTCAGGGCACTACTAGATGGGGCTCATTGAGCCTTCAAACAAACACGAGTGTCACCCGGGCTGAGAGCCAGATCCGGAGCCGTGTCCGGCCAAGGTGGCCGTTTGGGCAGCCCGGGGTGGGGATTTAGCGCAGGCACCAAGGGCTGGATCGTCCCAGCCAGTTCTTGCCACCATCCGAGCTGCTGCTCGGCCCCAACTCCGGGTAGCACTGGCAGGTTTGCTCTTTGGTGTCCCTTTTCTTTAAAATCTGCTCTACCGGGTTTTCACTTGAACCCGACAGCCAGCACGGGTTATTTTTTGTTGTCTTTTTTTTTTTTTTTTTTTTAACTATTTACAGTGCATTCTCAGTGCTTTTGGAGTATTTATCACAGTTAAGGGTCATGGGAGTGGCAGCGATTCCCTCCCTGCTGCTGGGGGACAGGTCCGTGCAGAAGAGCCCCAATAGCTGAAACAGGAACGTGCACCCCGGTCCTGTACAGGAACGTGCACCCAGGTCCCACGTGCTCGCTCTGGCCGTCCTGGCTCGCTTGGGGCTTCAGTGGTCACTCTATTGATGCTAGCACAGGTTTCTGGCACGTGCTTGGAAAGTGAGCACTCTAAATGCTTCCAGACCAGCCTTCTGGATTGCCAGAGCTTTGGGGTTAGGATTTTGTGTTTGTTGGTTTATTTGTTTGGGGTTTTGTTAATAAAATAAATCTGCTCCCGCTTCCAAGCGTCTCGCTCTTGGTTCTCACAGATTCACTCCATGGGAGGTTTCTGTCCTCCCTGTTCTCCTCTCACTCGCTGCTAGTGGCGGTTGGATGAAGGGCCTTGGAAAGTCATGGGGGTCATGAAGCTTCTGCCTTTGAGGTGCGAGGAGGAGGTGGGAATGGCCCTTCCTCCCCAGGCCAAGAGGGAAAACTCCATCGTTTCCAGCCCCTGCCATCGTTGGGAAGCTGCAGATTCCTGTTGATTTCTATTGGCCTTGTTTCCAGGTGCTGAGCACCAAGGTAGGCCTGGGAAAACAGCCTCAAAGGAGGTGACCGACTATGGGGCAGGGGAGGGACACTGTCTCCAGTGGCCTCTCAGCCTGGAACTTGCAGGACAGGGCCTGGGGGAGGCTCATCTTTAATTGCACGTTAATTACAGCCGTTCAGTCATTGCAAACGGGCTCCAGGCAGCCCTGGACCCAGCCCTGGTGCAGGGCCCCATTCCTGCAGGCCTGGGGCAACAGTAAATCCGAGTCTCGGAGCTTCAGGGCTGCCGCGTTAAATTGGAGCCGAGAGGTCCAACTTCCCGTGGGACAAGAATCCAAAAAAGTGTTAAAAAAGCAGCAATTCTTGCAGATTTTTCCAGCCACTGCTGCCATCTCCATCGCTGCAAAGGCGATGGAGAAACCCCCTCCAACCCTGCACATGGCAGAGCTTTAACTGGAGCGCTTCATTCCTCGGCCGTTCCGCAGGATAAATTCCTCCTTTAACAAATGATCTTTCCCAGATCCCGGCAGCCGCTGGCTTCATAAATCCTCATCGGCCGGACTCCCCTTTCATCAGCCCGGAGGTTTCTGTTCAGACTCTTTTGCCTTCCATTAAATCCATGTTTATTAATGTTTTCCCTCTCTCCCTGGTGCTTTGCAGCTCAGTAGGGCGGGCAGCTTTAGTAGGGCGGGCCAGCAAGAAAGATTTTATTTAATTAGTTATTTGCTTCTATTAAAGCAAGTGGGAACCTCTTTGGGCAACTCAATGAAACCCTTGTTGCTTCTCACATATAAAAGAAAATAAACCCAACTTGCTCTTGATGCAGAGTTAAGCAAAAGGGGCAGAAACGGGGGGAAGGCAGCTCTGTAAATCACGGGGAGCCCCACAGTTCATCCCTGTTCAGCATCTCTCCTTATGGCAAATGTAAACCACAGCTGGAGCCCTGGGGGGCAAGGAGGGCAGATTTCCTGACATGGGGAAGTTGGGGGCACACAGGGCAATTTCTTTTGCCCCCTGTGCAGGCTGCTGGTCCTCATTCCTTCTCCCATGGCTCTCCAGAGCTTGCTGGAAATATTCCCCGTTATTTTATTTTACCTCTTCTGAAGAAGAAGGGAGGGTGAGATGGGTGCCCAGGCCCCTGCAGCCCCAGCTTCTCCCTGCGCCTCCTCTCCAACTCTTGGGACTTTCTCATTTTACCTGCCAAAACAAGTCGTTTCTTGGGGCTCCCTGAATCTGGCTCTCAGCAAAGGGAAGAGTTGGTGGGTAATTAATGATTAAGGTGATTAAGATGATTAAGGGAGTGGAGCATCTATCATAGGAGGACAGATGGAGTGAGTTGAGCCTGTTGAGCTGGAGAAGAGGAGGCCGAGAGGGGACCTGGTCAGTGTGTGCAAGCAGCCGAGGGGAGGATGGAGGGAGGAAGGGCCAAGCTCTTGTGGGTGGTGGCCAGTGGCAGGCCAAGGGGCCCTGGGGCCAAGCTGCAGCGCAGGCAGCTCCACGTGGCCGTGAGGAAGAGCTTGTTTGGTGGGAGGGTGCCCGAGCCCTGGCCCAGGCTGCCCAGGGAGGCTGCGGAGGCTCCTGCTCTGCAGATCTGCCAGCGCGCCGGGATGCGCCCGGGTGCCCCGTGCTCCGGGTGTCCCTGCCGGAGCAGGGGTTTGGATTGGATGATCCCTAGAAGTCCCTTCCAGCCTTAATGATTCTGTAAAAAAGCAGGTGCTGGTGACTGCACCCGGTGAGCTCAGTGTCTGCATCACCCCTCCACAGGACAGTAACTACAGGCCAGTAGCCCACAGTGCAGCCCAGGGTAACCTACCCCGGGGCCTTGGTGCCTCTGCAGAGCCGCGGGGTCTCATCCAGGATTGGGATCCGCCTGGTTGGGTGTCCAGTGCCACAGGAGCGGGTGGGCGACTCTGCTTGGGCCTGCAGAAACAGTAAGTGTCAAATGGAGACGTTCTGGGGACCCACGTGCAGCCCCATTGAGGACACATCAGCCCCACACAGGTCTCTGCTTCCATGGTGGTGGGAGATGGGCGTCCCTTGAGTGGGGAAACCAAGAGAAACGTGGCCAACGGGTGAAATGACAACTGCACCTGGTGATGTTACCACAAACAGCATCTCTCCCGTTGGAAAAAACTACTGTAATCTGCCTTGACAGCTGCCAAATTAGCAGCGCCTTATGCAGCACTTGCAATTAGCCAGGGTCCTGCGGGAGCAGCGCAGGGCGCCGGCGCACACGGCGCCACGACGGGTATTTTTAGAGAGGGATCCAGGCCCCGCAGAGGAATAAACAGCCCTCTGGTCACTAGCAGCAACTACTGCCCATCTGTTCCCACGGCACGTTCTTTGAAAAATAAAATTAATTAAAAATGTTGCAGTGCTGGTTTCGTGCTGCTGGCCTCTATAGGCCCCAGGCAGGAGAAGGGCTCTTGAACCAAAAACCTGGGGCAGCTCCTAATGGATCCTAGGAGATAAAGGAATAGCTGGAATATCTCCCTGCCTCGGTTTACCAGTCTGGAACACGGGGCTATTATGTAGTTTTATTGGATGTTGAATGTTTAATTTTTTAAAAAAGGGAAATTAAACATCTTGCTTTACTCCCCTCTGCAAAACTCAAGACTCGGAGGCTTGTTTGGCTATGAGTAACTTAGGTGTTACCCTGCTGCAATGCAAACACGCTCCCTGCCAATAAAAACACGGCTCCCCCAAACAGCCCTCCTCTTATCTGGCAGTTTTATAAATATATAGGCACCGAGTTAGGAGTTGGGTGCTTTGCGCCAAAAATAAACGCTCCCAACTAAAAAATGACAAACTGCGAAGCTTTGCAGTCTGCTACATGAGATGCAAACATTTCATCCTGGCAACTCCAAGGCACCTTCTGCTTTCAAAGTTGGTCAGATGTTCCTTGCTCTGCAGAGCACTGGACCCAGCATAGGTCAATGTAATGTGGGTTCCTTGAGGAACCTCATAGAGGAACCTGTTTATTCTGTATGTTTGGCCCTATATAATCAAGCTGTAGGGGCAATTCCTGCCTGGAGGGTTTAGCATTTAAGACTCTTCCTGTAAGTATGAGTAGCTGGAGTCGCCAGGCTCACTTGGCCAGATGGTTCAAGGGCATCTGCAGAGTTACAGCCCTCAAGCAGAGGAAGCTCTCGCATCCTGAGGAGTGCGACTAAAGGAAAATTCGGAATATTTTGTTCTGTTTTAAACAGAAAGGAGAAAATACTCCATGGGAATGGAGTGAAGGATTGGGGGTGAATATGGAAATAGCCTTGGATTGGGGAACAGGAGTGAAAACCAAAGGGAGAAGGCACGATGGGGCTGAGATACCATCCAGCACCTGGCACTCTTGCTTTGCAGGCACCTGCAAGGACCCGAACTCAGGCATTATGGAAAACAGTCCTGGTTCCTGTTGTTGGTTGCAATGTGGGGCATCATCTCCCCACCTAAATGAGGCTCCTTTTCCTGATTTTTCTCCTTTGTCAACAGAGAGAGCCAGAACACACCCAGACCCACAAGAAGACCTCACATGGGTTCCTTGAATGGAGACAACAGCCACGAGGAGCCCTGTAGGACTTGCTGGGTAACTAGTTGAATGGTAATAGCTGGGCACCTACCTTCCAAAACGCCCTGGGGAGACCCAGGGAGGTTCCAACCGCGGCGTTGTCTGCTCAAACTCCTCCTGAACCCAGGCACCCGGGCATCCATCCTGGCTCCTCGACCTGCCAACATCAGTGACACACACTGGAGCCTCGGAAGGGCTGTTCTTCCTCAGCTTGAGCATGCAGTCAGCTGCTATATGGAAAGGAAACTAGTTAATAAATGTGGGGCTGTTTTACAGGCTTGCTTGGAATTTAAGGTCAGGCTGTTGGAATCCATCTGTTACTCACCATGAGCTGCGCTGCTTTGCTCAGATCATCCCGTTTAAAGGAGGAAAAACCTTGGCCACGCTCTGAACTTGCCCAAGGAGGCAAAGCAGAGCTACGATCCAGACGTTACTCCACACCGTGGCCACCAGTCATGTCTTCTTCTGTGCATGGAAAGGTCTCTGAGGACCCACTCTATGACATGAAAGCAAACAGACCTCCTCAGTGCAACCTCCTCAGGCCAAGGGCCTGTATCTGTTCTGTAAATAGAGAGTAACATGAATTAATCGGGACAACCATCGATTCAAGAGTTTTATTTACTTGCCAGAGTTCTGCTCTACAGATAGAAAAGCAAATCTTCACAGAGTACTTGCAGCTTCTGCTACTTGTCAGCAATTAATATTTTTCTTCTGATGGTCCTTACCAGGTTGTTTGTTTAAGTACCAAACCAAAGAATTACGTGTCATCTCTTAAGAAACTACATTTATTAAAAAGGCTTTGGAGGCGGTTTTCACTCCCACCTTAACTCTAAACCTTTCAGAAAATCAGAATCACTCACAAGTTTTGCAATAGAGACAATATTATGAGAGACCAACATACTTTCACACTTCAATTAAATCTGTGAAATGGGAAGGGGAGGAAAAATAAGTTATTGGATAAGATATGGTCATATGGCTGTCAGGAAAATATATATGCCAATTCCCAGCTCAGAGTGCCAGGGGAAATAATTTCTAGCTTTGGGAAATGCAGAAATTACTTTTTAATAAAGTTACAAATAAATAACTTTTTTTTTGGAGAGGGAAGAGCAATTCGGAGTTAATCAGAAAAGGATTTAGAGATAATCTTTGATAGAGTTTTCTTTGATGAGGAGAAATTGTATCAAAATCAGTATTCCTGTTAGGCAGAAAGACCCAACAGGATCAAGCCCAGGGTTTGGCTCATAGCAGCTGTCAAGGGTCATTCCCCTTCCGCCCGGATGGGATTGGAGGCAGGACAGGTTTGGAGTTGGAGCCTGGACGGGTGGCGACTTGAGGCACACGGGAAGGACCAGGCTTGGACTTGCTGGATTTCCTCTGAAGATTCTCACCGAGGAGCTCGGTCTCTGCAGAAACTAGTAATGAAGAAGTGAACAAAGACTCATTAGCAGTGAACAAAGACTTCAATGAAAAGTCAAAAGAAAAGCATGTCTCCTGCTGAAAACTAGTGTTCTATGGGAGAAAAAAAAGAAGATAAAATATCTTAGGGTAGCCTAGTGACTAACTTAATATGAATAGAAGAGTAAATTTATGCCTAAATATAGTCACCATTTTGATTTCTCCAGAAGTTCACTAGGAGAAATCCCCTGTATTGTGCATGCTGCTCAATGATTCTACCATGTCATAAAATTGCTATAATAAAATTATTCCTAATATTATTCACATGAATAATAATAAAATTATTCAGAATAAAATCATAAAATTATTATGGTAAGCTGCTTTCAGAAGCATGAAGAAGCTGCCCCACAGCTGAATAAAGCTGCTATCACCACAGTAAGCATGATACTTGAGCAAAACCATTTGAGCTTGAGCAAAACCATTATTTTGGAATAACGTCCCAACCTTTCAATCTGTCTGCTCCATTTTCAGCTCCTCTTGGATCTCGTTGCTCAACTTTGTCCTCATCTGTGAGCCGAGCATGAGGAAGAGGGGTCCGAACAAGCAAAGCTTCTGCAGCAGATGATGACACTGCTAATTGTCCACCAGCAGGACCAGAGTCTCTGTCACTGGGAGAAAAAAAATGATTTATGCTTTAAAATAGCAATAAGAAGGCATACGCAGCAAGTCCGACCTGACAATATTCCTGCTGTTGTTGTGGTCACATAAATCAATCAGAAGTCACAAATAAATTGCAGTATTTATCAACTACAAAAACTTTCACGCCTGACAATTCCCCTGAAACCTTTGGCGTTGGCAAACACAATTACTACCCCTCTTTGCTTTCACTTTATGTATTGGTCTAATTAATCACTCACAGACAGATACAGCAAAACGGTTGACGCTTCACAAAGACTAAACCTCAAATTTGGGATCAGGGCTCTCAGCTTCTTGTTCCCAAACTCTGTGTTTTGGCATTACAAGGTTCTCTCTTAGCGAGTGATTGTAAAGTCTAGTCCAAGGTCTAATTATCAGTTACCTGATTAGCTTCTAAATAGAATTTAGTACCACAGACATAATGAGTTGCCTCAACAGGAGTCACGGCAAGTCCTATTCTCCATGGACAACTTAGGAGACAACAGGTTCATGAACAAATGCACTTCTTGACCTGTCTCAATCCTTCTTTAGAGCAATGTTTCCCTTCATCAGTTTTGTCAATATTAAAGTCATATTAATGACTTTTTATATTGATGTGTGCATTTGACAACAATAATGATTATTCTTGCAGCTTGCTCTGCCATGATAAAGGCTTCCTGTTGGCAGCTATGTCCTGTGTTGATTTTATTTTAGGAAAAGTAAGGGGAAAAAAAAGGCCTTGAGAGCTCAATAAATATCTATTTAATGTAAAACCATAATATATTTCCAGAGCAGGGCTTAAAGCCTTTCATGCCAACCTTCAAACAGGAAGGGTTGCTCCAGTCTAGATGAGAGAATTCTGATTAATAGACTTGTGAATCTGGGAGGAATTTCAAGTTTTATCCATTCTGACCTTATCTATGATGCAAGCCAAAGAACTTCACCCCCAAATTCCTGCAAGGAGCATTTTAGCTCATAAGAATATTATGATCACAGCTTCCCAGGGAAGAGCCCGGCAGTATTTCAGTAGTATTTTAATAAATCTAGGTTATAAGATAATGGCATAATGAATAATGAGAGAAAATAGCATGGTGTTCCCTTTAAAAACACAGATAATTATCGTATCAGTGGACGTAGTTGCCTTTAAAGGCAGAATGATTATTTTCTGTAATAAACTGAGTGCCGTTCTCCGAGGCCCGCTGCATCCAAGGGGCTCATCCCCAAGCACTGCACTTGCTGCAGCCAAGTGCTTAACTCGAGCTGTAATCTCATTTGAGCTGCCTGTAATACCCACCAGCTGTAATTGCAGTGGGGAAAAGCAATTACTAGTAGCAGTAAATTCAGGCTGAGCATAAAGAGCAGCTTGGACTCCTCTCAAAAATATCTATGTGGGTTTCTGAAAGGCTGACTACTCTTGTTTTTGCTTTAGGACGCCCAATTTGCCTGCTGATAAAGGTGAATAATAACTATCACATGGTTGGAATTAACCCTCCATGGATCTCTACAACTCCAGGAAAGCAGGGTCTCCAAACCCAGCATCCTAAGGTTCTCAGCAGAAAATTCCCCTCAAAACCACTTGGACAGGGCTAAAAACTCAGTGTTACAGTGGATACCTCTGGCAATATCATGTTAGCTGCTAGGGGAACACTCTACTACATTTTTATTTTGGTAAAAGGCAAAATATAAATGTAATAACCCTGGGAGGAGAAGGTGCTTTTGATGGTTTGATGGAATAGCTTCTTCCACGTGGAGAAACAACGTGATTTCTAATGACAATTACAGTCTTGCAAGTGTAACCCACATTTCCTTGTGGCACCAGACCAGCACATTTTCCCCAGGAGAGTCAATAGTTTAAATTATGATATTGTTACAGTATAGTAGTTGTGATAGCAGCTATAATTAACGTAGGAGGGAGATGTCCCACTAATTGCCTCACTGCTATTCTGGTCTTAGTTAAGCTGTGAGCCTGAATAAGCCTTGCAATGAGGCGACACTGCAACACTCCTCCCAGTGCTTAGGTGTTTACTGGGGCCTTCAAGTACAAATTTCACAGGAAACATTTAATGGAAGGTCCTGTAAAATGATGAAGAATATGAAAAAAAACCCAAAATTAACAGGAAACTGGAGGTTTTGAGGTCTACAGCACCTTGATATCCAAGGCATTTGGGAAATGTGGTGCAGAGTAGTTGAGAACCTAACTCTTCTTGGTGCTTTTGGAAAATCTCCTTCATTAGCACCTGCAAATGAGCTCTGAGAACCTGTCTCTAGTCCTTCCCTGAAGATCCAAGCAAGAAAAGAGAACCTTGACAAGGGGAGTAGGCCTAGCTGTGTCCTGGCTTTAAGGTCCTCCCATCCCCTCAGGCGTCCCAATCAGCAAAATGGAAAAGAAACGGAAAGAAATAAGCAAATAAAAGCTTTAAAGGGGACAAATGCAGCCAATGGATTAAGGAGATAAATGGAATCCCCAAGCACCAAATATTGAGTGTATTAGTGATGATTTGAGGATTAAAACACTACCCTGCTGCAGGCTGTGTTGAGATTGTGCTCGTACCAGACTGCCAAAGCCTGACATGTACCATTCCACATGAAGGAATTCCACCGTGTTTCAGCTGCTGGATAATTTTCGTGCGATGACATTTGGCAGGAATGAGTGCTTGCAATTAAATAGTTGAGACAGTTCTCTGTTAAATGCACTAGTAAATGAAGATCTTCTCACTTCACCACCAAAACTGCAAATACTGAAGGTGTAGGAACAGTTTGAGAGTACTGTTAAAAGAAGGGTTTTAAGGGCAGTTGCAAGATATACTGCCCTAAAGGACTGCCACTTGCTAAAAGCAATGATTTATGGGTTAAGCCTAGGAGGGGGAACAAATGGAGCCTCCTGCAATAAAATAAAATAAAATAAAATAAAATAAAATAAAATAAAATAAAATTCACACTTTTATGTGGGGTCAGCTCAGTCACCAGCAAAGAACTTCAAAAGTCACTGGAAAGGGGCCAGACGTTTTCTTTTGTGAACCCAGGAAAAATGAGAGCCTCAAAGCTGTGGATATATTTAGAAATCCCTTTCTAAAGTGATTTAGACTGGATTTTAGCAGGTGTAGATTTTCAGAGCTGCTAAAAATTATAGGTCAGTGAGCAGAGAGTTAAAGAAATCTTTAATAATCATCTTTGGAATACCAAGGCCACCAAGTACCACCTAATTTACCTGTACATCAGCAGGAACAGAACAAGTGCAGGATCTGGATCCAACAGGTTAAAGTGTCAGAGATCTGGAGGGAAAAGGTGCAGTTCCCACAGCTCAACTTTAAAGGGAAACTGCTAAATGTGCAAAATTATGCAAGCAATTTGAGCTTTAAACACAAAGTTGCCCCATAAGATAGCAGACTAATTTGCTGCCCTTGAACCTGAAAAACAATATTTCCTTCCTTGGCTGTGCCTGAAGGTCAACAATTTATTTCATGCTCTTACCCCTTGGTGGTTTTTTTTAGTTTACTCTTTCTTCCACTCCAAATATTGAAAGCATATAAATGGAGAAAAAAGGGAAAAAAAGATTAAGTCGCCTCAATATTCAGACAAACAACATCACTACACGTTTTACTGCAAAGTTTCAGAAGTGTGGGTTGTTTTTTTTCCTTTTTTTCACAAATATTTTAAATACCTCTACACAACAGTTCCATCAGCTCTATAAACAAATTTCTTCCAAGCTTTCCTTACTCCCCTTTCAAAAGGATTTGACAACACTATAATTTGACTACAATTTTGCTGTAGGCCTGATGCACGCACAGCCCCAAAAGAACCCGATTAGCAGTTTGCTTTTTCTCTCCTCACAGTTGTTCTTCCACTCTGTTATTAACAGCACTAAATGCAAACACTGCTGAAGTCAAAATACCCAAATGTGGTGGAGTGTAAAGACATATTTATTCCCATATGCGACGGGGGAGACCTTTGCACTCGTTTGAGTTATAGGTCTTGCCTCTTGCTGGTAAGGACAGATGATGCACAATCCCTTTGCAACCTATTACACACTCTGCTTCTCATATGTTCTCTCTGTTCCCCTTCAGCACACTCCACCGTGGCACAAAAACCCCAGGACAAATGAATCTGCAGAGGCCTGTGGGTCCAACCTTTCTACAGGATGCTAATTAAGCACTTGTAATTACAGTGGCAGGTAGTCCATCAGGCAGAGAGAACGGGAGGTCTATCTAGGATGCAAAAGGAACAGGGAGATTTTTTCTTTTTTTTTCAGCAGTAAGTTGCTCTAAGAATTTGCTTGACGGATCAGCTGTCAAGTGAATGGGTTGAAACCTTTTTAAACAGTATGTGGATGTTTGGCACTTTCCATTGCTCTGATCTGTGTGTCAAACTGCCTAACGTGAGCTTGGGAGATATTTCACATGGTGATTTTTGAAAGATATGAAAATACATACATGAAAAATACATGGTATGATATGTTTACATACAGCTGGAAATGCCATTTGAGCTGTACAGAATAAGGTACAAAAATGGGACTGAAGCTGTGATGAAATCCAAATTTAGCAACATCCTTAGAGCATAGACATGAGCTTATTCTAAGCTGCAGGCTTCAGGTGACCTTTATGCACAGGGAGGGGAGCTGAACTGAGCTGGCTCGTAGCAAGGCCATGAGCACAAGCCTTTTTCCATCGTGGATGGGGGAATCTGGCACTTTCTGCTTCACCAGGCCATGCTGTGTGGCCTCCTGCTGCTTCTGCATATCCCATCTGGAGATGTGATTGTAACAGATGGCCAGAAGAGGGGAGAATTGCTTATCCAGCATTCCTCATGGAAAGGCCACAATATCATTTGCCACGATAGTGGGCAGACTTGCTGGCAGCCAAAACAGGACCACTGAGTCACAGCCATTTATAGGTGGCAGTTTGGACCTGCAGAGCTCATGAATTGTGGCAGGCTGAAATCTGCCCATTGCTGAAGGCCTAAAAGACATTGAAGTTTCTGCCCCTTCAAATCTTTTTCTAGTTTCACCTGACTAAAATCTTTGAATGAGATAGCAGTGCTCTTCCCACTACGGTTGGACTTGATGATCTTGAAGGTGTTTTCCAACCATAATGATTCTATGATTCCATGATCCCTTGATACCTGGGAGCAGGGACACATATAAATGAGGATATTTAGCAGTGCTGAGCAGAGCAGAAACGCTGGCCAAGATAGGAAGCACAGCACCAACAGTGACCAAGACAGGAAGGGAAGACAAAAGGGAGACTACAGGAGCTCAGGGTTCTTCTGGGGTCTGTTGTCACTGTGGACAAGATCAGAATTTGAAGATCATGAAACTACCTTGAGTCTCTTGAATTCAGCAGTAACTATGGTGATTCTTTAAAGAGAGAATGATAAATCCTTCTGATATCAGTATGAGAAACTTTGGGTAAATCTGTCCAAAATGGTTATCACTCACTATCTGTTTTTCTATACTTTGACAAGTTTCTTTCATCATTTGCTTCCTTCAAACATCCCTGTGAAAGACAGCTCTTGAAATGCTTTCTCTGTGTGTGAATTACAGTGTCTAAACGAACCCACTGCCACGAGTGGCAAGACTTTGTTTTATGAGGCAGTGACACGTGTTTAATAAGGCTGTTGATGCAACAGATGAGACAACTGCATGAGCTTGGGAAGTAGTTCTAGGTCTTGCACGTTGTGGCATTAACTCATTCCACCCAGTGATAACCTTTCCCTCAGGAACGGAACTCACCGGCTCTCAGGGTGGGTAGGGGTGAGGCTCTGTTCTTGGGTGCCAGTCCCTCCACCTGAGCATGGAGAAGTCTGCGTTGTTGGCTCCAGGAGTTGGTGGTGGGAGCTGCCTGGTGCTGGAGTGACTGCCAAGGGCCTGAAATGACACATAAAGAAAAGGAAGTGTGTGCTCCGTGCATTTACATACCATAATAGAACAGTCAGTGCTTAGTTCGCGTCCTTCAGAGTGTTGCAGAGTGCTTTTCAGAGCTGTATGGTGCCCATTCCACAGAGGAAAGTGAGTCACGGGGAAGTCAAATCCAGAAGCTTCTTCATCTCTCAGATGCTTATAGAGAAGCTGACAAGCATTTGAGCAGCTGGAGAGATCGCTGGCATCTCTTGAACAAAGAGAAGGGCCTAAATTTTTGAATTTTTGCAATTAGATGCAATATTTTTGTCTTGGTCTTTCCTGTTTCTTTTTTCTTTCTTATTTTCTTTGTCTTTTCTGTTGCAGCTGCTTTATGAAAGAGAATCACTTCCAGTCTTCCTCTCCTGCTCTGCACTACCTATACTTGGAGGCAACTGATCTGACTGATCCCCTCTGATCTGTTGGTCACACAGTTCATGCTATTAAACCCTACTTTGAAACTGGCTATGTTGATATGGCTCATTTTGCCTGAAGTAAATTTACAAGACCAATTCAGATGGAGGAGGGAGTTTTCTCCATCAGGAGATACTGGGGGACTGATCTGGGCTATTTTATAGCCAATGGATATGAAGACTGTCAGGTACAGCATGAGTAAACTCAAGCTAAAGCAGAGGTCTGAAGCAGGTTGGATGAATTCAGTGAGACAGGGGAGTGTAGGGCATTAATTTGTTCAAATGGAGACAGTGACATTAAAGACACCTCGAATCAGGTGAGATTAATTGCAGCCCTCGTGGCTAACTCGCAAAGCGAGAAGTTTCAGCTTCACACCTTCTGTCACCACCACTCCTAACACCTAAGGAGAAAAAAAAATGTTCCTGGAAACTGCAGCATCGACACCACTTTATTTATAGCCTATATTTATAGAGCTAAAAGCAGACACCAACAGTCTTGTTGAGTGCTAGACACAAGAGCTCCTTATTGACACAGTGAACTTCAGGTTACAGCCCTTGAAAGATCACACACATCCACCCCTTGTAGCACAGCCATGTCACCAACACCCTTCACAGGAACACTGTCTTTTCACACCTTTCCATCTTGTCAAAGCAGAGCTGTTCCCCCTTCTTGGTCTTCTGGTGCTCCAGTGATGAGGCTTTCCCAGCGTTTCCTTGGAAATCCTTCCCTCACCCAAAACCTGGAACAAGGTTTTTCTAGTATTTATCTTTACATTTTCCTTCCTTTCACCCTCTATTTAATACCTATAAACAGAGCTTTCCTGGTATAAGTTCTCAAGTGGTGGTAATGGTGTTGGGTTATTACCAGCTTGGATCAAAGTCTGTGCTGATATATGGGAGAAAGGGTTTTACTCCACCGACAGCTCTCAGAGCTGCTTAGGGCTCTCAGAAAACATTACTTGTAAATCAGCACCGTAAAAATAATGGAAAAAAAATGAAAAAAAAAAAAAATGAACCCCTGTGAAAAGGCAGAGCTACGTATTTCCGAACAACGTCTTAGTTCTGATACTAAAAGGGGCATAAAAATAAATGAGAAAAGCAAGATCACATTGAAGTGAGAGGCTGGACAAACAAGAGCTTGGTAATATATGTTATATATATATATGCTACATATATATATATATATATAGTTATATATACACAACCACAAGAACTCAACAGCAGCCAAAGACAGCAAGCAAATCCAAGCAGAAGAGCCACAGGTTGACCAGTGCATCTTCTTATTTCTCCCCATCTCTGGCAGAAAGCACTCGTGAAGCTGTAAAGCACATGAATTTTCCCCAAATCAGAAAAGCAAGACAGCAGGCTGTAAATTCTCTTTAAATGAACCCTATTCTCACTCAATCTAGTTTCTTTCAACAACATTCAGATTAAATCAACGAGATAATCATTAGCTAAAGACCTGCTCCGACTGAGAGCTCAACCCAGCCCCTTATTTATTGCCCTCAGACACACAGACAATGAGTGAAATTACTTTCAGCTACCAAATGTTGGCTCTACATCATATTAGGCAGGGAAACCTCAAAATGATTTTAATTACACCTGCACACAGCCACAGGGAAAAAATAGAGAGGCCAGATTTTCAGTAATTTGGATTTAAGAAGCTGAATTTATGTAGGTAACCCTGTGGGGCAGCAATAAATAAAACAAGTTAGATACTTGCTTGACACAGCTCTTAAAGCCTTCGAGGGCATACTCAGGGAAATTGAGTGATATACTTCAGCTTGTGTTAAAACACGTCATGACTTAGATTAAGCATTAAAGAATCTTTTAATATTTACACATACACAGGAAATTTAAAACATTTATGACCTTAGGGACATTTTTTGGAATATATCGTTTTGGGCATCAGTTCCATAAATTTCACAGAATTTAGATTTACTCCTAATCGAAATAGGGCTTTCATCCTCACAGGTCAACACCTTCAATCAAGTCCAAAGTCTTTCACTGGTAGCTTAGGTTAAAAATGAGACTTTGCATTAGGAATGACTGAAGCAGGGGTCGTTTCATTTCTCCTTTTCTCCTCTTTTTCTTTTTCTTTTTCTTTTTCTTTTTCTTTTTCTTTTTCTTTTTCTTTTTCTTTTTCTTTTTCTTTTTCTTTTTCTTTTTCTTTTTCTTTNTCTTTTTCTTTTTCTTTTTCTTTTTCTTTTTCTTTTTCTTTTTCTTTTTCTTTTTCTTTTTCTTTTTCTTTTTCTTTTTCTTTTTCTTTTTCTTTCCTCACCAGCCCTTCTAAAGGAGCAAAACTCCCCAGAGAAGATGGCCACAGAAATAAGCTCTCAGCACCAAGATTCATCAGCCAGATGTGTTATCAGTGAAAGGAATCATATTTTTACAGAAACAGATTGTCAGCAGAGTGATTAAGTGGACGAAGTGCTTTATGCACAGCCATTGACAAGGAGAATAAAGAAAAAGCTGTATTATGTTCTAAGTGAAAATCATCCAAGAAAAAAAAATGCTGTTAAGATTAAAACAAGAATAGCAAGCCAGACCTTTTCTAAAATCAATTATTTCCAATAGGCATGACTCCTGTCAATTTGTGTAGCCAAGTAAAAGGAGAAAGAAAACCTCCAAATACCAAATACGCAGAGAAAAATTACTTCAAGTATGGATATTCCTCATGGGAGAGTAATCTAATAAGCAATAAAGCCAAGACAGAGGTACAGACATGACTGAAAAAAGAGTCTACCCTGGATTTTTAATGCAACAAGATGACATGAGAGGGTCAGAGCAGTTTTTGAGCAACATATGCACAGACGGTGAAGTGTCATGCACAAGAAGGAGGCCACAGTGACTTTGCCAGCAGTTGTGGTAGTGGCACTTGAAAGATTCTGGTCATTTTTGACAGCTAATTAACAAACTGGAGAGAATTTATACTAATACTGATGATTTGAGAGGGACTTGCAAAGGAAGATGAAAAGCCATCACTAGATAAAGCAAGAGCAAAGGAAAAGTATACAACAAGATAATAACAGTCTATATTTCTGAACTACGCAGAAATACGTGGATGGTGCAGCTCATATGAGTAGGAACCATGATATAATGAATTACTGTGTGTCTGTTGAGTTGCACAATCTGTGTATGGATTCCCTTTCTTTAGTCCTTGATGAAAGCTGGAGCCAAACCACATCACAGGAACCACATTACAGTTACCTTTGCTGGGGACTAGGAGTGCTCCCAAGGCCCAGGACTGCTGCAGCATCCAGGGTGAAATGAAACTCCTGGAGCTTCTGCAAGTTGAGCATGACCTGGACCCATGACTTGTGTATTGAAAGAGTGATCCATCAAACCATAGGAGAGCTCTTCCAAGGTGAAAACCCCCTTCTAAAAGCTGTCTAAAACAGTTAGATTCTGTGCAAACAAAATGGTCTACAGAGCAGTTACGCACTAGCCACTGCCCTGGACGAAATAACCTCCTGGGTTTTCTGCTACTTAGTGAAATGCTTTATAACATTCATATTTATGGCATTTCTTGACTTCACTTCTTCCATGGAATGGTGTGTTGTCTACTCCTGCCTCCAATTCCAGCGAGTGCATCTATCCCTCGAGGCCTGCTAATTGCAAATGCTGATTGGGGGTGACAGGAGTTGCTCTCACCTGCCTGACAGCTCTGCCAAAACAGTCGCATCCTTAACTCCAAAAGCAGCTTCCAGGGAACGGGTGCTGTGGAATAAAGGGAGCAAAGAGCACCAGACTAAGGCAGGCTCAGATAAACTGTTTGCTCTGCCACACAAAATAAACCCGGAACATCTAACAAGAGAAAACACTGATTTCCATTTTTCTTCTCATTAGAACAGAATTTGAAATGAATGAATGGAGAGAAAAGTTTGGCCTCTTCAGAACTTAAAGAATGGACTTAAATTCTCTTCACTAAAAAGAAAATGGAAAATATATCGTAATATGCAGGTCTGCCTGGAAGCTTCTGCCATTGATTTCTCTGGAGACAGTTCAACGTGGTGGATTTTAAAGTATAGAGACACATTAATTAATTCAGGGTGGGAGGGAGGCAGTAATTGCCTCACAAACAAAGGCTGAATTGAAGGAAGGCAGCAGAAGGGCTACTGGCCTCAGACAGCCTCCCTTGCAGGAAGGTCTTAATCTGCAAAAACATAGAAGGTTGAACCTCATTAACAAGTAGATCCTGAAATCTCACAGCCTAAAGAATTAACATAAATGGACTCCAACTTCAGGTTACCACAATATGCTGGTCCAGGTACTACTTTAAATATGGATCTGCCATTCCTGTTCAGGAGGCAAAAGTCTTGGAGAAGGACTGGGTACTTCCCTCTTTTTGTAAATTCTCCTGTGCTGGGTGAGGAGGTTCACCAGGAGTTTCCTTTCAAAGAGTCACTCTCCAGCCTTTGTCATTGGAGAGATTTATTTCAAAACATCTGGCCTGTATAATTGTTGCCTGCATCTGTGCAAGCCTTAAATAAGAGCTGCAAGATGTGAACTGTTCTGTTCATTCCGATGGCTGCTGATTTATAGGCCCATATGATATTTTAAATGTCAACACTGCAAGTCCTTTCAGGACAGGTAGGGAAAACAAGCAAATGAGGATTAAAATTAGAAAGATTTACACCAGTGTTTACCAGGGAAAGGGAGGGCTACACAAAAGACCAATTAAAGAAGGTATATTGAGATTTATAGACTTTTAACATCATGTGGTGGAGCTGCGAGTGTGAGGAAGAAGAAGAAAGAGGGAACATCAAGATAGGATCCATGTTCTTAAAAAAGTATATATATGTATATATATAAATAAAGTAGAATCAGCTCTCAGAAATTCTGCTTCAAGTAGAAATATCCACAGTAAGATGTACCAAAGCAAACAAGCTTGTGCTGAGCAAGGCCACGATTTTCCAATACTAATTGCTAGCAGCTTTGAAAAACACGTACAGGACTGTGAGCTGCTAGAAAACTGTTCCCTTCTTCTGCTCCCTCAGAGAAAAAAAAATACATAATAATTCCACAGTTTTAGATGAGTTACTTGTGGATGGCTCTGCTTTATACATTTTTGCTTTGAGACTGCTGCACCTCCAACTCAAAAGGCAGACTGCTTGCAATCTATTTGTAGGGCTGGATTGAAACATGATAGAAAGGAGAGCTGCTTGGGACATCTGCAAGCCCTGTTGGTTTCTAATTATTCAGCTTTAAGAGCAGCGGAGAAGAAATATAAAGCAGCTATTTTTCATTTTGCTGCACAATCCACTCAACGTTACCTTTGAAACAGCTGGACATAGACACTGGGTGCCTTCCCTGACAGAGCCCGACGGGTGGCAGAATGACGCCTCTGGAGAGAAGCTTCCTCCTGATAAGAAAAGGATAAGACTTTTATGCAGTACCTTGAAAGCAAACAGGGTGACTTAATTGGCTGTGACGCTCTTCTTTCTTGCTAAGACTCCAGAGGACGTGTTATATATTCTAGGGAAACAGAAGAGTTAACTTACAATGTGCTAAACATGATTAAGCAATCTAGACAAACTGGATTTTCACCTGAAATCTTGCTGAAAAAAACAGCATTTTTTTCACCGGCTCCATCTCCAATGAAGCCCCATTTCTTGTAACAGTCAAAATGGAACTGGGTGTAGCAGGAAGGAAAGATTACGGAGAACCTTGATGCATCCCAACCTCACAGCATATTAGAGCAGGAATAATTCTAATTAGGGTGTTGTTTAAGTTTCTTTTCGATAGTAGTCAGCTAAATATAGTAGAATTTGCATCCACTGCATCTTCAATACGCTGCCTTTGCCTCCTTATTCCAGCCATGCTGGAAACCTGCCTTACCAACACTACATCAATCAATATTGCCCCTTCAGAGAGGGAATTACCTTTTCCCAATTTCACTTAGTTAAAATGATTTTGTACAACACATATCCTCATCTCAGCAGCTTGGAAAACGTGATCCTGAGTTTGAAGGAGATGCTATTTAACAGGTGCTGCAGCACAGTGTAATTACTCAGAGCAGACAAACCCAGAACTACAACATGCTTAAAAAAAAAGTGTTAAATCATAGAGAAAAAATAGTAAATACTGCTTTGTAAACAGTTGGATAGACAGATGACATGTCTATCCATAGACATGAACAAGAGACTATAGTTAACCTGCTAAGTGTTCACACTATGGCTACTGTGAACTACTTCCCCTCCCTTCACTATTCAGGCTGAGGAAGGATCTGCTCATACACTCACTGAGCTTGTGGTTTGTTTTGTTTTCTTTCCATAAATATATAGTTCTGTCCCCTTTTTCCTTGTGCAGATTACACGTAAAAACTCCTTTGTGCTCTTATGTTGTCTAGTTAGGCACAACTATATGAAACTAGTGCAGTGTTGACATGCTCAACATGGGATAAGGCAGCAGGAGATCAGATCTTCCTTCTTTCTCTGTGCAACAGAACCTGCCTCTCATCTTGCTCCAGGATCATTCACAGTATATTCTTATTTCCTTTTCCACATAAAAGGACTGGAATTTGGTTATTTCAGTAACATCGTATTATTGGGTGTCAAAAGCATGCACACAAAAAAAATCATTTGCAGTTCTAAATATAACTATTTAAACAAAAATTTACTTTAAGGACACAGACATATTTATATTCTTCATATTAACTATGGTGGAAGAGATACCTGTGTTTCACCTTGAAGGGTTTACTATGACTCTTCAGCTGATACTGCAAAAAGTTATTCACATGTGAAAGTGTACTGAGAAGTTGGTGTAGTAAATAACTAAAAGGTATTAATGGCACTGAACAAGGAGACTCATAAGAAATTGAACCTTGCAGACACTGTGTAACTTAAAAAACAAGGTAAATTATAGTCTCCTTCATCATAAACCACTTCTCCCTGACTTGACAAAATATAAAATTTGAGAATAAAAATAAGGAGATGGAATAAAAAGTGAGAAAAAATGAATTGCAGGGAAAGAAGGGAAGGCAGAAAACTACAACAGTAAGAAAAAAACCTGTCTCTCTCACCTTAAACTGACTAAACTTTCCTTGAAGGAATCAGGAAAAGGAGCCACGTTTGTGACAATTCCCAAATTCCACATGCCTTGAAAATAAGTATTTCATAGTGGGATAAAAGTGAAAGATGGGAGGTGCCCTAGCTATGAAAGCTAATTTGCTGTCCTACTTTCTCCATACCCAGCAGAGCCTTTTTTAAAGCCCAGGATAAGACGGGGGGTTCTCTTGCTTTGCTTTTACAAGTTAAACTTATAATATATAGTTTTAAATTTACAAAGAATGGCAAAAGGGTTTAGCAAGTCATGCCTGCCAGGTATGACCCATATGGGATGGACACAACTTAAAGATGTCATTTTTCTTGCTTTATTTTTTCTTCTCTCCTGTTTTTATCATTGAAGAGGAGCATTAGACACATCTACTCCATAGCCCCAACTCCCCCAGCACCTGCAAGAACAAACATCTTTAGGGAACTTTAACAGACTGTTAAGACACAAGAAGGAAAGTTGCAAGAGGTTATTTGAGATCCAAGCATGTTGCTGCATCCGTGGATTGAGAAAGTAAAAACAGGTGACAAACGTGCTTGAATTTCATCTCATTTGTGAGAGCAAAAACACTCTGAGACACTCATCTGAAGCAGCGTTTCCACTGTCACAAGATGAAGCTTATTAGTGGCCCTCATTTTCCTGTTGACTGCATCTCACTCTCTGCTCTGAATAGGATATTTTCCATATCTCTTTGAAATACAAGAGAGATGATCTTTAACTCCTTGACATCAGTATACAATCAAATGAAATCCATTCAAATCAACTCTGTATTCCTTCTGGAGTGAAGTTAGGCAGAAAAGCTTGTCCCCTCAGCTGAATCTACTTGCATTAATCCACCTTTAACTCACAAAATGAAAGAAGTCCAGAGAACAGCAATCAGATTGTCCTGGATAAAGAACAGTCTGATGACACACGTATGTTTTGGACATATCATTTCCATCCTGAGGTTAGAGCCAATTCTCCTTACCATGGGGGTCAACTGTGGAGCAAATCCATCCGAGATGCTTGCTGAGAAGCTTCTGGCAGAAGAGTCCAAGAATTCATTGACAGACGAAGACTCAGCAGTTCCAGCAGTCACTCCACTGGGTGACAGTCTTTGATCTTGTAAGAACCTCATTCTTGAGCCTAGTGTGGGGAAAGGGACTTAGCAACACAAATATTCCGCATGGCGCATTGTTTGCAAGAAGCATAAATCCCAGAAGATACAAGGCACTTTTCACAGACATTTCTTTCTTTGCAAAAGATTACTGAAAATTATAATTGATATCAACTACTCAGTTCCATAATAAAACATTTAAAATCTTCAAAGCACTTTGCAGATAAGAGACATTTAATCTCCCTAAATACGTGGGTAAATGAAAGCTGTGACATATCTGAACCCCACCTCTTGAAACCTGCCTTAGTGGACTAGGAAGAGATGCTTAACTTTGTGTGTAAATGAATTTGTTTTGGGGACCATGACATGTTCTGCTCCTATGACCTCTGAGCTAACCAGAACCTACGAATTCAGAAGCTTTGACCTCCTTAGAGCATCTGGAATCTGATAGGGAGTTAGAGCCTTTTTTCCTGTTACATACCTGATTTTCTATGAACACAGATCCAAATACCTTTGCTGCTTGCAAGTAATCAACCACACACAACTAAGCCAAGAAGCTAGACACTAACAACTCACTTCTTTTTCCAAAAACATTTCAAGATAGAAAAAACCCTAAAGTTGCAAAAAAAAATCTTATAGATACTGGTACATGATAATTTTTTGGAAAAATCCAGTCATAAGAAAGATTTCATTTTACTGTGTGCCATATCAAAGCACTTCTAAAGAGCTGACAGCCTAGATGTCACATAACACAGGCAGAGGGAGCGCATGAGAAGCAGACAGACCTCCAGTTTATGTGCACATTCACATTCTAGAGGTGGTTATTTTATAGCTATATGCATTTATAAAAAGTTCCAACAGGCCTCGAATGACTCTCAGCCCAGCTATTGGAAATTGCTGGTTTGTAGCTGCCAGAAAATCAGATGAAACAGAGGAGAGGAGATTGCTGAGCAGAACTGTAAATTACTCACGTGCTCAGTAAGCAGCAATGCAAAACTTCAGACGTGCAGCACCAAGCACTGCCAAAACGTTGGTGGGATTTCTGATGCCCAGCATCACAAATAATCCCCTTTTATCCTAAGTGTCCCCTTCCTCATTTGTAGGATGCAAACAGTAACCCGCACATCCCAGGCCTGCTGGGAGATCAAATAGTCGTAGCCTCAAAGTACCCGAATCCTTGGATGAAACCTGCTAACAAAACTACAAAGTATTATCAACTCTGAAATGTATTATATTTCTGCTATCAAACGTTTTATAAATACAGCTTATCTATTTTCTCCTGGTATCTTTTCTCCACGCAGAAGCAAAGGATCTTGCACAGCAGTTCATTAAAAAAAGAATTAACAACCTATCATGGTCTCACACAACCAATCTTCCCTCTAATACTATCTTACTATAAATGTTCGTATTAAAGACAACCTTGAGGCAAATTTTTTCACACAGTCCATAAGAGGAGATGATCTCGAGAAAGAGGATAGTTAAATTTATTTAAACACCTATAAATGAAGCTCTAAATGGATTTAATGGTGCATTGTAAATTTAAAAGTTATTCCATGGACAACAGAATTACCCAAACTGATACTATTAGTGAAGCCAGTGACAAATCACTCACTGAAAGAACTCAGAGTTGCTGAGGATTGTGAATACAGCCCTTTAAAGGAATTTCAGATACATATATATCTTCAAAAACACGGTGCTTATATACAAATCTTTTGTCTTTAACTCTCCCTCCTTTCCTTCTTTCCCGATAATCTAGCTGGGTTTGGTGGCTGGCTTTGCTTCTTAGGACGAAATGTCTCCAGTGGTTTTAAGACAAAGAAGTTGCAAGATTATAGTGGATAAGGCAAAGAAGTCTTCTTTTTCAAAATCCCTGTTTCAAACAAACATGCAAGCTCTGGAAATGAAAATAAAATCTACATAGATTAAGATTAAATAAGAATCTTCACAAAGGTCCCCATCGCTGTAGCGCTGAGATGCCACAATATGTGTAGAAGCTGCTTCTTCTCCATGGGGAAATCAGCATTTATTAGTTCTTTCGGGCTACAAAATTACTTGAAATAATGAAGTGATGAAATTTACACTATCTTTCATTAAGACTTTGAGACATTTTTGCCCTGCCTACAGCTACTTTATTTGCAGCCTTCTGAGCCATGCAGAAGGTCACAAATATTGGCTCGTTGCTACTTAGGAAACTAATTACCCTCCTGTTGCAGCAGATCTAACCAAGACAACCATCAACCATGGAGGCTCTTGGAGACTGTTCATATAAATGAATTTTTTCTCAGTCTGTGCTGTGCAATATCTCACTGCAATAATATCTGTCTCTTATTTCTTTTACCCAGTATCCTAGAGACCACATTCTCCTTTCAGCCCAGCTGGTAACCTGTGCTGTTTGGTATAAATATAATGGTTACAGCTGAATTCTCACAAGTATTTTTAACTTATTTAAGGTGTGTTCCCTGTGGCCAGAGCAGTTTATTTGTTTTTTCCATAAGCAACCATGCATCTCTTCTCTTTCACTACTGCTTCCTTGAGTCAATCATATAGCTATCTGATGCATCTTATCTGGGAATGGATCTGTCTGAAAATATTTCTTTTTTTTTATATATATTTTTTGGGGGGTTACTTCAGTGGGAATCACTCCCTGATCCAGATTATGCTGGCTGCCCAACCAGAGGAATCTGAACAAAGGGGAGAATAGGAAGTGATAGGAGACTTTTCGCCAGGAGCACGGACTTGGATTAGACTTAAGTGATCAAAAGGCTCCAGCCTTAGATGCTGAAGTGCTAAAAGCCTTCCCAAAGGACAGGCAGTTCGTCTTTAGAAGGCAGCTTAACTTGCCATGTGCCAAGCAAGCCACGTGGCAGGTGAACCTAGGCCAGCAAGTGTCCTGGTGACACTCCCAGGGCTCCAGAGACATTTGGAGTCAGTTTACAAGTTGCCTTCACTCATCTTCCTATGCTGTTCTTCATATAATTCCTCATGCTTTTTGGCCTGGGATTCAGCCCCAATGAGTGGGAGATCTTTGGCCCAAGGGTGTCCTAGAAGAGTCACACAACACACTTGCCTGCACGTTATTCCCTTGGGACACATAGTAATGAAAAGCCCCTGGGAAGAACTCGTTGAAGATTCCCATCCCAGGGATGGGACAGCCCAGGAGACCCATCACAGGGAGACAGACCCATTAGGGCTTCACTCACAGATTTTAAACCTTGTAATGAGTAAGCAGGAATACTGAACTGATAAAGGCAGTAGTATATGCTAGGGCACAATACCTGTTACTGTATTGCCATTCAGGTCCTGAGTGCTATCAAAAACGGGAGGTGGTTCCAGACCCAGGTACTCCTTTATGAGGAAATTCAGCTCTGTGAATGCCTCGTCCAGTTCATCTGCAGGCAGGGATATGCATTTCACGGTACAGAAAAAGAATATATAATAAAAGAACAATCTTTCATCAGTACAGAGTTACAGAATCACAGGAGCTTGAGACAGAAATATATTTTTAACTCACCTAGGTCATTTCTTTTAGAGCACAATCCTCACCTTCATAAATAGCAAATTAAAGAAGATAATCTGAAATTCAGCTCACTTCTAAGTTTTTACATGAAGCCTAAACATTCCCCTCCTGCACTTTGGTTTACTGTATATTATTTATTTAATATTGTATATTAAAATTGTAAGTTCCATTTGCCCTTAACAGCAGCTAGCAATACTGTATTTTATACCACTACGAAACACATTTCACCACCACAGATGGGGAATCACAAAACCATTTTCATAAGGGCAAAGACTGAACTAAAAAATGATTCCTCTCCACCACCTCCCATGCTCAAAGAGTGCTGATGGGCTCAGCATTTGGTTCCCTTTCTAGATGGACTTCAGACACAACTCAGGCACAGCAGAGCAATTCAGCCCTCACAGATGACCAGCTTTTCGTTTTCAGGGCAAGAATTAAGAGAGAAAATCAATTAGGCTGTTATTTAAACTTACACTGAATATCAAACCATTTGTTATCCCTAGTTTGAAGTTTAAGAGTGGCTTTATTTGCCTAGGAGTTTCAGTCTACTTCTTGCTGTGACATAGAATTCAGATTTGCAGCAGGAAGGAGTATTAACTGACCTGTGTTAATTACTGCATCAAAGTATCCTGGCAAATCCTCATTTATTTTGATGTACATGTCCACTCGGGAGACTGCCTCTTCGATCTCTGGCCTGCTGAATAATCCCTTTCTCCGTAGATGTCCCTCATATTTTTCTCTGCTCATTGGTATTAACAGGATATATCTGGGCTCAAAGTAGCTGTTTTTCAGACTACGCACTCCCTGTAAAATGAGGCAAAAAACAATCTTTTTTTATGTGTGTTCCTGAAAGTGAATGCCTATAGAACAAGGAGGTGTGATTGGGTCAATTCTGCATTTATCACAAACCACAGCAAAAACAGTACTAGAAACCTGACTAGAAGTCTAGACTTCTCCAGACCCGGCATCAAGTTTACAAGGGAGCTAAGGTCAAGGTGAAGGACCCTGAAGTCTACGTATGAAAAGAATTATATAAAAATAGAATAACTTAATTCACTTCATTTTCTTCATAGTCTTCATATATCCACCAGTTAACTCCTTTTCCTTCTTTGCCATCTCTTCTACTGCATCACAACCTGTGTGTACCAATGAGTTGCATTCCTGTACTCTTACAGCCCTAACAATTTACCTGCATCAACCTCCCACATCACCTCTTCAGCCCTTAGCTTTTCATTATGAACAAACTGAGAATTTTCTTCTCAGCTGGTCTATTTTTGAGTGGAAACGAGCAAGTTCATTGAAATACAGACATATTTTATTTTCCTGGAGCAGCTTGCAATGGTATAATTGGCATATACATATATATATACCTCCCAATACTGGTATAACTCCCCCAGCAGAGACAGGAGGTGAGAGCATTCTTCATCTCCTACCTGGTACCAATCTTGTATTTCTGCTAGCTCTCCCTTGCACCAACTCGTAGTGTGATGAATCCACTACGTATGTAACAAAAGGACATCAAATATAACGTACGGAGAATTTTTAATGACATGTCAGACTTCACATTTTTAGGGCCAAAGTCTAGACAGAGAAGAGTGATAAAGGATAAAACATCCTTTCGAGTGTCTAATAATCATTAAAAAAAAAAAAACCTAGGCAAATGACCACTGTGTTGATGGACAGTCCAACGTTAAGTAATAGCATGTGCCTTAGCATACTGTAATGAACAGCTTGCTCTGATTTTGCTGGGAGGCATGAGATGACTTTGTCTCTAAAGGACCTGAGTGGGTAGGAACACAGAGTAACTAATGTGTCAAAACTGAGCACTGTTCATCACTTAATCAGGACTGAAAAAACTGGTGTTCTCCAAAACAATTTTAAAATGCAATCAGATGCAAGCAAGGTCATGCAAAAAAAAGCATTAATTGGCTGACTTTTTTTTTAATCCTGTTTGCAGAGTGTTAATCATGAAACTAATCTGAAACTTTTAAAATCTCAGAAGGCAATTCTGAGGAAAACCATATTTTTGGTGAAAACCAAAAGGGAGAATGTGAGGCCTTGAAAACTTAGTACAGAGCTGCACAACCGTCTACGTTCAGCTAAGCTACCCAAAATGTTCCACCCTATTAAGACCTTCACCTCAAGTTGCACCATGAATGACTTCTCTCTCATACACACACAGTGTGGCTGAATCGTACCAATTTTGCCGACAATAAGAGTAGATTCAGCAAGATTTGACTGTTCAAAATTTGTATCTGACCCCTTTACCACTGGAAGATATATTCTAGATAAAAAGGAATACACAGCTCTAATTTTTCCTTTGTTTCAGCCCATGGTTCATAATTAACATTTCTTTTAATAGTGCTAAATCACATTTGTTATGAGCTTAGCGGAAGATAATGGCCTTGGGTAACTTTTATTCAATACATAATTCACTATTATTGTTTCTCATCCGCTACCAGAATGCACAGCCCTTCCAGACTGCGTGTAATTACTATGAGGTCTTGAAACTTCAGTGACAAAGGAAATTTGGAGCTGTCTGTCTATGACAGTAGCTTCAATAATAAAAACCCAGTTAAAGTTTTGGTCACTACCCATATGGCTGAGCTAATCTTATGAATAAACATGGAGTTTCAGTAAGTTTTTTTCTCCTAAATTATTTAATAACACATATACTTTGGGAAGAATTCAGAGCTGTAAAAGGCACCCTGCTCCATCGTATTTCATCTTCTCCTATTTGTATTCCCTTGTAGATTCAGGATCTGTCTGGCAGGACAACAAACACATTCGATACCTGTTTCAATCAGGGGAGACTGAGGAGGATTCACAGTGTTGACAAGAGAGAGGAAAAGGAACTGCACAGAGCTCAAGTTAATGAATTGTTGTTTAATATCAGGCAAGCAACAGGCACTCGAGCAGGATTCCATCATTAAATTGCTGATATCCTTTGGACAAGGAGCTGCTATTCAGCTATTTGTACATTTATATATAAGCCAATAAATGGGTGCACATTTATCTGGTGCAGGTGGTACAAGCACTCCTCAGGAACACTACAGCTTTGACCTGATACCTAGTTTTTTGAGCATCATTTTCACAAAAATAACAAAGCTAGAATTAATTACATTGATTATCAACTTTTGTTTCCGTTTCCTTAGTCATTCCCCCTAACTGTGGATGCCCAGTGTAGGGTCCTGAGGTAGCACCACAGTTCTCCTCCTTATCACTCTGCTAATTCCTAATCTGTCCCCCTCTCATTCAGGAGTGTAGCAGGACCCATGAACTTGTAGTAATCCCACAGAGTTAATGCTGAGCCCAAAGAATGTAGTGAAACCCAGTAAAAACCAGCATCACGTGTGGGGCATTCTGTAGAGTCCCATTTTGGTACCTTATTTTGAACTTGCAAGCTCGTTTTGAAAGAGTTTGGAGTTGGGAAGCCTTTCCTTTTTGTCACCTCAACCCTTAGCTAGTAAATCTCGGTCCCCCGCAGATAATGAGAATTATTTAATTAGAAAATTAGCTAAAAGGTTAATTCTTATTCTTTTGGGATTCCAGTGAATGAGTTTTGACACTCTGTTTGTGACCTAATTTCCTAGGCAAGACCTCTGAGATTTTGCCATCTGTGCATGTGCACCTGACAGATCTCAGGCAGAATAAAGTAACCCTCGCAGAGCTTGCAGCTTTTAGCAGCTCTGCCCAAATCGTGGCCTCAGGCCTCCATGTATCCCCCACTGTCCCTTTGCATCCTCCATTGCATTGATAGGATGCAAGACCTCAGGAAGACGCGTATTCCTTTGGATGCTTTTCCCAAAGTCAGGCAACAAGGAATCCTCACCTCTATTTCCAGGTGGACACAGGTAGCAAGACCCTCTCTGGCAATCGATTCGATAGTATCTCTTCCAAGTCCATAGTAATGGCCACTGTATTTAAAGGTTGCTAAAAATTTCCCCTGAAAATCAAAATAGTGAGTATTACCAATGATAAGGAGGCACACATTTTTCAGGGAAAAGCAAATAAGAAGGCCTGAAGGTTAGAGATCTCTTGCTGAAGGCTCTGTTGGCTCCCTTGTTTACATATGGGCAAATAAATGTGCGCTACTGTGGTTTTTCAAGCCCAAATTTTATTGCAGGCAGTAAAAGGCATCGGAACCAGTAGCTGGAGGCACAGTGCCTTCAGAAAGAAGCTGACTGCCTTGAGGGGGAATCTGCTCAGATCTGAAAGGCTGCATTCCCTGCAGGCCTGCTAGACTGACAGGGGGAGCAAAAAGGCATAGCAATTATTTTGGAAGGATTTTTCTTCCCTGCACCCACACTAGCTATTTGCATGTGCAAATAAGTTGATTTTTTTTTTGCATTATAACATTGTTTGAAGATTCCTACTGCCCACTGTGCCCACTTACTGTGCATATACATATAAACACACACACTCAACAAAAAGAGAGCCCACACATTCAATGAATTTAGGGCTACTTAAGCCATATAGCTGTGAGTGATTAAGCATGAAATCACAGATATAAACTTTCAAAAAGGAAGAAATCAGACCATGGACAGAGAAGTTGGGTGTAGTGACTGTAGGAAATAGGCCTACTAGGATGCTAGTCCAGTACTTACCATGTTTAACATTTTGTCAAATGCTTCTTGGGAAACGAAATAGTAATCAAGTCTGTTTTCTTCGCCAAAGTAAGCTGCCCTGGTGGTGTGACAGGGACTGGAAGATATATGGTATAATAAAGAAATAACCTGTTTTCAATCATAGAAGCAGCTATGGAACAGGAGGGGGAGAAGGGGGGAATCCTATAAATCATTTTATTTTTAAGGAGAAAAGAAATACGAGAACTACAAAGAGGTGCAAATCATACCGTTAATGCTGCATATTTGAAAGATTAACCCATAAATACACACAAAAAAATTTAAATGTAGCATTACGTTTTTGGCTATAAATCCCTCTCCAACCCAGGACAGCCTGAACTGAAGCTGTTCCAGCGCCCTGCAATACAGAAATGATGAACCTATTTTTTTTCCAGTTTTGTCAGCTTATGGATGATATGAAGAAGAATCCTAAAGAAGCTAGAAGTTAGGCTGAACTGTGAGTTTAAGAGATAGATAAAGAAGAAAACAATCTTAAAAAAAAGGCTTAATAAAAAGGGTGGAAACTACCCTGAAATTAGGGGCATAAGTGGAATTTAATGCAGGAAAAAGCCACCACATAAGAGCATTAAGATAAAACCCAGATACTTGAGCTTTCTATTGGGACAAAATATTGAAAAATACAAACAAGCAAAAAATACTCTAGACTTTTATTATATAATGAAATATATAATGGTCTTTCTCTCTGTATATATTTTTGTATATAATATAATGGTCTGGAAAACATGGCAAAAAAAATGTATCACTCAGTAGCCTCACCCACCTTGGTACATTACTAGTTTTTAATACTTTTTAAAAGACAAATAAGAACTAGATAGGGAAACTGGATTTAGTGATTAAAGATGCAAAGAGAGGAACAGGGAACAACAAGAAGCCTCTTTATACCAAGGCAGTACTGGCTGGAGCACGGACCAAGAATTAACTTGCCCCCTTTCACCGCTAGCCTAGGACTTGTCCAGAGCATCCGTATTTCAATGTAATTAATGATAAATCTGGAATTGGTAGATCTGGTTCTGGTCCACAGGTCGTCACCTCTGCACTGCAACTGGTACCTAAACAGGCAGGTAAATACCTAAAGTGGCAGCACTTTTTAAGCCAAAAACAATGAATTATTTTCCTTTTTGCTTGACCATGATGCTGCACTGAAAAGATTTATTTAGTGCTTTGTCCTGCCCCCTACACTATAGTCCATTCTGAAGGACTTCTAACAATATAGTCAATTTCCTTGTTTTTCTTGTTTTCTGAGCCTTTCCAAAGCAAACCTTCCAGTGATAATATGCATATATGTTTTTCCTGCTCGTTTATTTAACGTAGCTGAGTTAAGAATGACTTAAGAAATTTAGTTTATAATTCAGAAGTCAACAGATTTTAAGTAGCAAAATATTAGACAGTGCCACTGCTTTATTTTTTTAAGTCAGTGAGCTGTGGCAAATGAGAGCACTGTGCTATACACATGGACTCTATAAAATTTCACTTCAAAGGCTTGATTTCCTTTAAGATATTATAAATGCACTCAGCTTTAAAGGTCATTCCTGAGCACTAACCAGATGGTTTGAGGGTCCAATTTCACTTTATTTTTGAAACAGTTTTAAACATTACAACCCTTTTTAATTACAAGGCCATGTTTACATTCAAACCGCTATGGTATCTTGCATGAAATACATTTTTAATGAGTGGAATGTTTGAAATTTCAAAGTGCAAGCCGTAAAATTGCTCAAATCTCCACTGAATAATTAAAATACAACTTTGCTTTACGGTTGCAATTTTCTGCTCCGTTAAGATTCTACTTCTCTCCTTTTTTCTCCCTTCTCATGCATGAAACTTTTAGGAAATAAAACACACGGTACAAAAACAACGTTGCTAGAAAAACATGCAGTGCTCAGAAAATTCCAGCTGGTTTTCAATTAGGCTTTTAAAACGTCAGACTTGCTTTAGAGAAAGGCATATTTTTTTCCAGTCACACAACCTTTACAGGTTTGTTATTAAAATGTCCTTTTCCATGTGCTAGTTTGATGAGTTAATCTAGCAGGTAGCTAAAAGCCAAGTGGAGAGCACACAGAAAGAGAAGTTGGCTTCTTGACTACAGAGTATTCAGTTAGAGAAGATGGTTGTAACCAAATTCAGGCCAAAAAGCAGAGCAAGGTGCTAAGAGGCCAAGGAATCTCCCTCACACCTACATACCCTCCATGGTCCTTTTCTTGCCATTTCAATAAGAAAAACTATGTAATAAAAAATGGGAAAAAAATACTGGGCCAGCAACTGCACTTGCTTCCTTTCCTGGCTTCTGGATGCAACCTGCATATGCATGCTGATGTGCCTGTGTACAGGTATGGTACAAAAATTAAGGAAAAGGTATTTATACATAAACAGATGCTTAGGTTGGAGGGGAAAGGGTGAGCACAGCTAGGACAGATCAACAGAAGAAGCACTAATTGTGTTTGCTCTTCACCCTGGAAAAGAACATGATAATTTAAGTGGCTTTTCAGATGAAGATATTTGATGACTTCAGGCAGTCTTGCATGGCAAAGAACATTTGTTTGTGATCTTTAACTTTTAACTTCTTAAAAAAAAAAAAAAAGGCAATTTTAGCCATGATCAGTTTGTGCTCTTTTAAACTTACAGTGTAAACTTACCCGTATCTGAAGAAATTGTTGTACTGTCTGCAGATCCTATGGGTAAGCTCTCTCTTCCCGCAAGCCAGAGGGCCAACTAATACAAGCATGGGGTAAGGAGCATCAAGACTAGGTAAAGTGCTACAAGAAAAGAAAACAAGGAGCCATGACATTAGCTGCAAATGAAGTCTTCAGAACTTTGCATAAAGTAGAGACTTTATCATCATTTGAACTAATCTCATCTGTTTGTCACACGCTTTACATTGTTCACAGCACAAACAGGAGGCAGGAGAGCGCTCAGTTTGATATGCCCTAAACATAAAAAGAGCATAAAACACTGCGTTAAAGACCCCAGGGTCTCTTCTGCCAAAGGAATAGTGTTCTGTGCAGTATAATCTTCTCCGATTTATATTCTTTTCTTAAGCTCCCTCTGCAGTTATTGCGCTGCTGGGATTTGCTTAGGAGTCTTCCAATTCTCCTGCAGAGAAGATAATATTTTAATGATCAGGATAAAGAGCGTGGCATGAACCTAGACCAAATCCTGCAAACCTTTCCGTGCTCCTGTGTGCAGCCTCTCTGCCTTCCATGGCTCTGCTGGAACAAGGAGGCAGTTTGCAAAACACTCCTCAATTCTACACAACGAAAGGCACTAATACCTCAAAACTCCACTGAACACAAATAACCCTGCAATAAAAGAATGCAAAGTGCTGCAGATATATAAAGGCTTCACTTAGACTCCATTTTTTCCCTGCTGAGCGGATGATTAGATCCCAAAATTTCCACTATGCCTGTAAATACTGGAATAAAGGGCATTTCTGCACTTTTGAAAGGCAAGTAATTTATTTTGGCATCTCAAAATGGAGAGTAACTTTGGGATCTCACTTTTCCATTTCAGCTAGACTTTAAGATTATGTCATTTGATAATGTGTCAGAAATAGCTGAAATAATCTCAGAAAGACATTTTTTAAACTCAATAAATACTTTTATCTCAATTTAAATTTTAAAGTGGGGAAAAATCAGGTGTGCATTAATCTTCAAATGAATGTGATTTAAAACAGGTGAATATAAATTCCAGAAGAGGGTTCGTAAGAGGAGTAAAAGAAATAAGTCACTAACTCCACATGAAATAATGATAACTGTCCTACTCAAGCATGAAGAAAAAGTAGTCTGAAGTAACAGCTTCACTCTACAGTTACTGCAGGTGCAGGTCAGCAAAACAGCTCTATTTCTACTTGATTATCTGTATATAATGAGATCTGATGCTTTAGAAACACTAAGATAATAATGTAATTTAGCCTCCTAATTCTTCTGTGGAGTAGTAAAGTCATGTGCTCACTCAAGAAATAAGCAGAAACACCTAATAAATTAGGTGAGTGGCTCAGGGCTATATATGCTGTTGCTAAACTGGGAAATGAAACCAAATCTTGGTTCACTCTTCCATCCATTACATTATTTTAAAACACATATATGGTAGCAAAACCATGAGAGATTTAAGGCTTTATACTTACTGGGCTGGATGGTGCCATTTATCAAACATTAGAGAATGTTAGCACAATATATTAAAAATCTTGGAGAAGGTGGAAATAAATTTTTACAGTCCTTACCTAAATCTGTGAGGTTGTTACCTGCTGTTCAATTTAAGAAACACCTCTGACCTATTTTTCCTGCCTTTCCATTTTCTGCCACTCATAGTTAGAAAAAGACTAGTTTAACATAACATGACTGCAAGAGATACCAGGGACAGCTGTGGATACTACAGCAAGTGCATCATTATAATGGACTATTTTAAAGACAGGAAATCTGTGAAACAGGTTTAATGGCTGTTGATTCACGATTAGCAAGACATAGAAGAAAGGTCCTCATTTCTACTCAAGACCAGGCCCTTTGTGGCTAACGAAGTTAAGGTCAGCTTGGGATGCCAGGACCTTTACCTTCAACATGGTGTTAATATATTCTTTCCAGCTGCACAGAACCTGTGATTTGCCTGCAAATTGCAGAATTCCCTTTATAATCATTTCTTTTACAGAGCACTGTCATCTCCAGGAATGATAAAATACATCATTGCTTGATATGCTTACACTTAGAATTCTAATTTCTTTAATAATTTCCCAGTGCTAAAATAGAGGAACATGTCCTGCAATTCCATGGATTTATTTCATTGGAGGAACATGGAGAGCATTCCTAATAATATCATATTTCATTACAACTTAATGTTTCTCAAAAGATAAACTAAAAGTTTGGCTCTTCCTACACTTTGCAAGCAGTATCTTGTAAAAAAACAGAGCATCTTTAGTACACTTACTGTGCAACTTTCTGCTTTCTTTGCCTTTAGCAAGTGCAGTAATTCACTGCTGTGCAAGATTAATAGATTTCAAAGCCAGGAGGGACTCCTGTGATCATTTAGTGGGACCCTCCTTATCACACTGGCCACAGGATTTCCCCCAGTTAGTTCTCGTATCAACTCTTATACCTGGAGTCCAACTAGAACATACTGTAATTAAAAAAGGCTCCAGTAGTGCAGACTTCTTGGTACCCTTGGTAAATTGTTACACTGGTTAATTAACTTAATTGTTAAAAATAATTGTGCCCTATTTTTTCTCTAAATGGATATATCTTCAGTTGGAAGATTCCAAATCTCACTGTGTATTTGCCCAATAGACCGAAGAGCCCTCTGCTATTAAACGTCTGTTCCCCATGTAGCAGCTGTAGCTACGATCAAGTCACCTTTTAAATGTCATGTGCCTTTATAGAAGGGAAAAAAACATACATAATATTGTTCAGGGGTATATTTTCATGTATTTAAAGACAGAATCACAAAGTATAGAGCGACAATGACAAGAGAAACTTAACACTGAAATGACATGAGAAACTTAACACTGATTTTTCTCACTACAGAGAATCCAATGGTATCACTTTTTGCTTGGCTTTCAGGTTTAATTTATAGTGTAGATACTATTACAACAGAATTAATTATAATCTCAGTGAAAAACGTAATTATAATCTCAGTGAAAAACGTAAATCTCAGTGAAAAACGTTTGCCCAGGGAGGTTGTGGAGTCTCCTACTCTGGAGGTCTTCAAAACCCGCCTGGATGCCACCCTGTGCCACATGCTCTAGGTGTGCCTGCTTGAGCAGGAAGGTTGGACTAGATGATCTGTAGAGGTCCCTTCCAACCTTAAATATTCTGAAATATTCTGAAATAAATGTAAATGAACTATAGCAATCTGGTTCCAATATGCATTTCATGGTGGAGAAGACTGCAACACATGATCATTAGGAACAGTTTGGTAGTGCCCGTGTTGTGTGCGTTGCTGGCTGTGCACGGTCAAATATTCACAGCAATATTTGCATGTTTTTTAAATGTCAAAGATGCTGGTCCACGTATTTACCTGTTCCTGTGTGCCCTGCCTCGGACAGAAGACAGAAGTGTTTCTTTGCAGCAATAATGATAATGATGATACTCATCCACAATTCAATAAGCAAATATTCAAATGGGGCTTATGGCTGTATTGGAAGAAATCCATACCTTTGGGTAAAACAACTACAAACAGTAAATAACCGTTTGGATTTTCCTTTTGCTCTTTTCATTCTTTTTTTTTTTAGTTGGCTGTTGAAAATTCTCAGAACTATAAAGCACTGATGAGAAGGTTCCTATTTTTTGTAGTCAAGCCCAGAAACAACACAAGATTCCCAACAATTAAACCAAAAGAACTGTAAATTTCTGAGTTATTGAAATCATGGACCTTAAATCAGGCTCCTCTGTTATGAATCAAGATGTCCAAAAAGATGCAAAAACAGGATCTGGGGTATAAAAGTTGATCTCCACACACACTATGAGTTATAATAACAATAAAGCATGCATATTTCAGCATTTTCCATGAGAGTTCATCAAATACTTTCCAAACATTTATCAAACTGGTATGATAACACATCTGCAGGGCAGCAAAGTATGGTGATTTCCATTTTATAGAAGAGAAGTGAAACGGGGAGAAATCACCTGGCATTAAAAAGGTGATGTTGGAAAAGCAACACTGATATCCCTCTCCCTTCTGTGCTTTGAGTGACAGTCGACATCATCTTCTCCACAGGCAGAAGTAGCGGGACTTTGTCAAGCATCAACTTGGAAATTTGGCTTTAGGAATATAAACCATGCCCCAAAGCCAAAAAATAAAACCATTTTGCTCACAATGGGATGCCAACAGTGTGAAGAGAAGGAGTAAATAGCCTAGGAAGAAATATTTTACAGCGCTCTCCTCCCTCTAGAGATTTCAAGTGCCTTTGGGTATTGACAGAAATTTTGCATCTTCCATTTATGGTGCAAATGGCCATCTGTTTCAACAGATTGTTTAAAAGAAACGGAGCTGTGGGCAATCTGTCTCCGAGTTTAGAGGTGAACAACTAACTTCATTTCATAATCAATTCAAGCCAACAAGATTTGCCTAATTTTCAGACTGCTAACAGCGGACTACAGAATGCCTGCTCTTCTTTAGATGAAGTTAAGGGTGGGAGAGGGACATAAAAATGTCCCTCGAAATATGACAACATATTCTGCTTTACTTGAGTGCCACCCTCAGGAGCGGATGTGAAGTGAAGGAAAGGTTACCTGTCAAAAATCCTCTGGGGCTGCATCATGCTGTACATAATATGAGTCATATGATCTTTAGCAGCAACAACTTCTGGAGGAGGATCATATTTATTCACAGCAGCAACCTGTTTCCAGAGTGCAAAAGAAAAGAGAAGAACAGTGATGTAATTGTTCCCAGCTTCAATATGCTACTCGGATCGCTATGAGTAATGCTGGATTCATATTTATGAGGGTCAGTTTTTGTACCTGGCTTGCCTATAAGGATTTCTCTACATAAATCTTTTCAGGAGATTTAAGCAAGTTGATAGCCGGATGGAAGGCAGCCAGAAGGAGCTCACCACCTTTAATATATTCAACCTTTTATTGGAAGGAAAACAGGATGCGGCATAAGATGCAAAGTAATATTCCTGAGGTTTTTAATTATGCATTAACTTGCCTCCTCTCAGTGCTGGTGGAAGATGCCCAACTCAAATCCCCAGGGACTGATGGCATTCAATTATTCCTCAGAAGAGCAAAAGAAGGGGCGAGAAAGAAGCAAGCAAATTGCCAGTTCCCCCTGAAATTGTGTTTTTTTCTTTCCAGGGAAGAGGCGTCACACTCAGACTGCAAGGACACGTTCCCTGTTCTGTGGAAGGTTTTCTGGACAAAACTGACCTGTAATGGGCTGTACTCTTTATTAGTAGTACTGCCCTTCAGAAATAGGCTAAGAACTACTAGCTCACTTCATGGAAACCATGAAATAGCAGCTGATGCCAGTGGAAAATACTGCTGCAAGCTCTGATGACAGTCAGGTCCACGTTAGCAAGTAGCAGAGTGTGACAGGAGCAGATCGTTAAAGCAAAATGTTTAGTACTTAGGACATAATGTCCACACTTTCTATCTTTTTGGGAAGGCAGCTTAGTTTCCTCTAGCTCTAGACTGGTTCTATGGTCCAAATTAGTGACTAGGAGCACATTCGGTGCATCCTGGAGCACATCACGCTGTTTATTTTAGTCCGAAAGAAGCTGCAAGGCTATTTTGCAACTGGAATCATTCTCCACGACTTGGAGATTCACTTCAAAACAACACTTCCCATCTAAACTAGAACATTAATGTATATCCATTTTGTGAATCAGGGAAGGAGAAGAGTTGCTGACTCCAAGTTCAGTCTGACAAGAGAATTTATGAGGCTGGAGTCCCAAAATAACCTAAGGGGAGTATTTTCTGAATTGGCTTTAACCACCCAAAAGTAAAGTGGTAGTCTAGACTAATCATCTAGGCTCTCTTTTATAGCTTAGGGAGAAAGAAAAGTTTCCTGAATATATTAATTTTTTATTGGAAGGAAACCAGCCTGTCACATAAAATAGAATAAAATCAACATCTCAGATAGATGGGGGAAATTACAGTCTGGCATCATCCTCTATCTGTATGTGTATATAGCTAGAGCTTGGCCTTAAAGAAGAATCCTAATACTCTTGCAAGTAAAGTTAGCCCTGATTAATTTTATTTAAATCATTTTACAAGGCTATTTCCCTAGAAATCTAACCCCAACTTGCAAATGTTAATCCCAATAGTTCTAATATGGCTTGGTCCCAAGTAATATATATTGCAAACAAATTATGCAAAGAGTAGAAAGGTTCCATTAAAACATGAAGTTACTGTAACCAGTCCCAGCAGTTATTTCTTGGGAAAACTGGATAGAAGGGAATTGGAAATGAGCACTGATATCACAGGCAGAGTCTACTCTGCAGTACAGAACATTAAGAAACCACTCCCAGTATTTGAGAAGCAGTTACCACTTCATAGTATTCCATGAATACAGCCCATGGATCTAAGCTAGGAACTAGGGCCTTCTAAGAGTGCTAAGCAATATTTCTTCATCCAAATCTTCATTGCATTTGTTGTCCTGTCTAAATCATGTGAGATTTGTCGCACTCACATTGCAACACATCTCTTTTGCATATGTAGCTCCAGGGAAGTTGCTTGCGTTTTCATTCATTATTTAGGAAAATTCCAGAAGGCTGTAATGTTTACATACCTTTTCTTCCACTGAAAGCTTCTTGCAATCCAGTTCTGTTAGCTGAAGCAGCATGAAAATCACCAAGAGCCAATAATCTGTTTGTTCCTGAAGGACAAAGTTTCCGCTTTGACTGAAAGTATTCAGCTTCATCAATCTAATATTTAATTTCAGCTTGCTGGAATTAAATTGACCTTAACACTGCAGCATAAAAAGCTTTTTACCTTGACGAATGTCAATACACGGTACAAACTGACCATTCCCTGACACCAGAATCTAGTTGCTTCTGCAACAAAAACTAATATATGTTCAAAAGTTCGCAGTGACATTGGCCAAATCGTTGAGACAGGAATCTAAAAAACCACCACGAAACCTACGTGAAAACCAAGTACCCCAAGTCAGACTATTAGAGAACTTTAAGTAACTTAATTATCTGTACTGGGACTAAGTAATAAACTGTGATTAATACTTCTAACCTTAGAAGTACTGTAGGAACCTTAGAAGAGAATTTGCATTTTGTATTCTTCCTTATATTGGCTTTAAGTCTGAGACAATAAAAAAGACTAATTAAAAATCAAATAAAAACTGACATTGATAATTCATGAAGCTTATTACTTCTGAGAAAAGTAAGGCCCTGTTAACCCAATGAAATTCAGATAGTTGCCTTGAAATGATTTTTGCTTATATTTTTTAGCAGTTACTAAAACCATAATTGAAAGAAAAAGGGCATATGTAATCTTTAACCATGATAAAACTGCTTGGGAGAAGGTCATCCAAACACAAAAAGGCTTTCACATTATGGAGGGGCAGGAACACACAGCCTGTTCCAGGTATTTTTCATGTTATTTTCAGATGAAGAAAGGCAATAATCTCAAGAAAGCCAATAGAAAAACTCGCAACTTACATAGAAACAGGAACGAGTTAAACCTTTAACATTTCTCTCCCCTCTGACATTGGAAATCTCCGTAAAGTTCAAATATAATTGAAAATACTGCAAAAGTCAGGATAGAATTACCTGTGATCTCTGGCATGATTCAGGACAATGTATAAACACAAAGTCAGTATCTCCGATACTTGTGAACATGTTATTATTGATAAAAAAGAGGCTAAATTCATTAACTGGGTAATATTATGGGAACCTTAAAATAGGCTTGAGGAATACAAACCGTGCCCCAAAGCCAAGGTTATAGATAAAAAAAAAAAGAATATTCAGATTCCAGAGTCATTTTTTTTTTTAATTAATAAATTCAGCCACTATTTAGTTACTTTGAGCTTTTCCCATGAACAAGTACAGACCTCTAAGGTAAATGAAATCCCTTTCATTCCTATTACCCTTTCATTCCTACCCCAGGCACCATGTTATTAAATCAGGACATGTGTATCCAAATGGATTCCCAAATGGAATTAAACAAATTCATGCACCTATCATATAGATATTAAACACAATGATTCAGATGCAGCTTTGCTTCTGGAATTTCCCTGACAAAGTTGGGAATGATATGATAAGGGAACCACGATATGGGAACCCTCACCCGTTATTACCTTGTTCTTATTCCCTGAGACAACCTGTTACACTCACAGAGAGTAAATTAGGCTAAAAGGAACGGTCTGACCCAAAACTGAAGTTTTAGGTTCTTATTTTTGGCTTCTTCTTTCCTTTTTTCTTACCTGTACAGGATTTTTTAACAGATTTAAAACTCTGAGGAGAGGCAGATCTTCAATATATTCAAGCTCACCCAGCTCAGCAATCTAATTAGTGACAGAAACAGAGCATAAATCAGCAGCAGCAGAATCCATGATAACTATGGGGGAAAGGAAGCTTTTTAAGCCCTAGTCTTAAAATGTGGACATAAAAAAACATCATTATACTCACAAAATGGGTATACATGTTAACTGCATTCAGTAAGACACTTCTAGTCACAAAAGGCAGGATGTCAGTCGGAGAAGCAGTGCAGCACAGACAGTAATTTTAAATCACCTGCATTTCTCCAGTTCTTTCAAATGCCACGCTTGGCTTTTAGGTGGCAGCTGTGCCTAAGTGAGGCAGTTCTGCGGTTACATTCGTGCTGCAGTTGACTACCAAAGGAGAAAGTTCTCCTGAGGGAAAAAAATTGTTTATTTTCACTGGAGCTCTGGTTCATCCTACCTAACTTGTGGCCTCAGGTTGAAGAACATCAGCACTGTTGTTGTTCCCTCCCTGTATGTGCAGAGGGTGATGCATCCACTGAAGGTCTGTTGTAGCCAGAGAGGAGACCCTGCTTGGCTGCACTCCCAGGCTCATCAGATCAGCATTACAAGTTATGTGAGATTCAAGCAAATTTGCATGCTCAAAGTCACAGCGGAGGCCCTCATCATGGACTTGGTGTGAATGGGACTATCAATTAAAGCAAAATGCATCAAAGGGAATTAACTTCGCTTGATTTCAAGTTAGGCCAAGTCAGCCACTTAACCTGCCTTCCTAATCAGGGGAGAGAGGCAGATCTAGACAGCATTTAATCTCTGCTACACTGGGGTGAACTGCCTTCTAGACATACCTGTTTTCCTTCCATCAACAAAGCCTGAGGCTAGAAGACTTCAATCTGTAAGTTTTAGGAAGACTAAATATTGTGTTTAAATATAGAAACCTCAACCATACTCTATTCAATATTCATTTGCAGGTAGCAAAAAGTTCTAGCTAGCTTAAATATCATTTGGATGGATGATGCCAACAGTCAATATTTGGAAATCAATGAACTTATATGAGATGCATGAGAGTTGAATCTATCAATCAAGTTCATTTTTGAACAAAAAGAAAGAAGACATTTTAAGATTGTTGTGGGTGGCAGTGTACTGAAGTATTTCCGACCATTTTGTGATGCAAAATGCCATGCAAAACAGTCCACCAAAGCTCAACCAACTTTCTATATCCAATCTTGATCTAACATTTAGCCTCTCTCTTTATATGAGAGTAAAAAACACTACACATCTTTTGATTTTGGACATTTTAACTTATCACAGACTTCATGTTTGCCTTACTCATGTCGATTTAGTGCTGATATTAAATTTTGGATGTTTTTGGTGGGTCATGAAGTCCACACCAATGCCCAGAGAACATGCATCTTGTCCCACAAGATGATTTAGTGGTATCACTGAAAAGAAAAATAAGTAACATGCAGGGCCAAATAGCAGCATGTGGGGTGGTTCCAGACTGAGGGGCAACTCTACCTTGCACATCACCTGTCCTTCCATGGACACAAGGAAAAATGACTGTTCTGTCCTGTGTGTTTTCCCAACCAACTCTTCAGAAAGCCTCAGAAAACTTCCAAACTTCAAACTCCTGTTCAAAATTTTAGAAAACTCTTCAAAGACCTGCAGAAAATCTCATCCATGCAGACCTCCAAGGACATCAACCTGCTGACTCCACTCCCACCACTGTTATGGGGCATTGGCAGACAAACCTGGTTTTAAAGTTAGCACTGAGTGGCTTAATGCAGCTTTTCCAAGCAGATGAAATGAAAATGTGAGGGACATGATCCTCACAGATGAAAATGTGAGGTTTAACATGTGCTATTAACACACTCTTTAAGTTATTCTGTAGACAAAAGAGTCAAAAAGTGGTGACTCATTAAGCAGTTTCAATAACATCATTAGAAGAGACAAATTTTGATGAGGCCAAATTAATAGCTCTTGCATGCTATAAAGAACAGTGGAAATGACACGAAGCGATGGAAGTGACATTATTAATGCTAATGACAACCATACTATTAGTTGGTTTCCTGTCTAGTGCAATTTTGAACATTGATGCACCTTTAAATGTCAGCCTCAACACAGTGTGAGAAAAAGTATTCAGTGCATTGTATTAACTCTTGTAAATGAATCTTGAAAGGAGGAAAATGACAGAAAATGTTCAATTCTTGGCTTACGTTGTTACCTCTTATTTTCTTAGATTTCTCATATGCAGATTAGCCTTTGATGACAAAATTATTCATGAATTGAGGATCTTTTCTTCAGTTAAGGACTCTGGAAGCTCAGTATCTAAAGGATTAGGTATTGGGTTTCAAAATTCCAGCACTGATGAGTTGGAGTGGGTCATGATAGCTCCAGTAAACACAGTGCTGCATAACAAAAGTCACTTTATAATAGAGTACATTCAGTTCTGCATGACAGGTAGTTTCCAGCAGAGTTAAGAAGAATCTATGGTCACAAAACTGGGCTGAGAGATATTACCACACTCTCCTGGGGCCTGGTATTAAAAAAGCTGTGATATAAGTGAAGAATCTCAAGGATAATCAAGCTTAAAAATCTGCATGCTTATCCCCCTTGTATACACTCAAGGGAGCATGGTTAGTGCCTCACCTATGTAAGCATTAAATGCTCCAGAAGTGATACCTATCTAAAGATAAACCCATCTAAGATGTCAAATGAGACTGAGAGTACAGTTGTAGTCAATATGTGAAGCAGTGCTGAAGCGAAACACTAAAGGAAAAACTGTTATCTTATCCATTGCTGTAGGATTTTTTTGGTTAAGCCTTCAAGGGGCTGAAATTTTGGAGGGAAAAAGAAAAAAAAAGATGCACTCTTAGAAAAACACTGAGATTAATATCAAGTACATTACCTGATTATCCTCTAGGTTGATCACCTCTAGTAGATCATGTCCCTCCATACCTTCTAAACTGGTTATTTTATTGCTAGACAGGTCCAGATTCTGTACAGCTTTCAGGCTTTCCAAACCTGTTATCTTCTCAATGTGGTTAGAACTCTAAGAACAAAAAAAAAAGCATTAAAAAATATTTACTAAGTTTTATAGGTGTGAAGCAACATTTCAGGTGAAGACAAGTAGAGATATCCTTGTCTGTAATCACTTTATAATTAAGAATCCTATTACAAATAGGCCTTTTATGTTTTAGCTCCACTTTCACCTTGAGATTAACTGATTAACTTGTCTTCAATGCAGCTCAATTGACTACAAAAAATGGTAGTGAAATAAAGAGCTCTTCTTTTTCTCCAAGCTGATTCTAGCTAGAGGCTACCCTTACCTCTGTCAAATGCAAAATTTAGAAAATATATATGCACATAAAATACAGAATATATATACATACATACATATAAATTCACTCTGTAATCATAAAGTTATATTTACACTTATGATTATGGAATAAATTATGAAAATATAAAGATAGAACAATATAGTGCAGTCTTCTTGCGGGCAATTTATAAAAATATGTCTAGAGTGTGTCAGCTCATCTCAATGCATACTCAATGAAGGCAGACTTTATATACCATCAGTTACAGCATGCACAGAAATATTCCCCTAAAAAAACTCCTTTAAGGTCATCGAGACTCTCTTAACACAAGAAAACAACCCAAGGTTTTGAAAACTTGGGAACTATCATTGTTTTACGTTCTTTCCAAAGAGGGTACAAGAGTGAAGCTCTGCATTGCTAAGTGGACAGCAGATGGCTACATCTCTCAGAACCTCACAAATCATATACTTATTCCTATAATCAACTCCAAATAGGTAGAGTCTGTACTAATCTTTGTCCCAGCGACAACACATACCCAGATGGCCTCTCAACGTGGTTCTTTCCACATAACCTTGCGAGTTATGTTTTTCCATCAGCATCACCTTGTGCTGGAAGCCTAGAAGCCTCATATTCTATTAATAAATATTTAGGAACTATTGAAATAAATAAAGCATCTGACTCTAATGTTAATTCAGTTGTCTGCCCTTGACATTTTTTCCTGACTTTTAAATGTTTAATTAGGGTTATTAATAGCATGGAGGCTCTCTTTCCTCTTCCTGTTTTTTTGTTAGACCTTTGTTTAATAAGATACAGCTCAGAGCTTTGGCTGCAATAGGTGCACGCAGAACTCTGGGAACAAAAGGTATTTGCTTTGAGATCCTCTTTTTAAAAGCATAAAATTCCTAAGAGTCCAGTTCATTAGAGCTGTACTTGCTATTTTTTTTTTTGCAGACACAAGCAGAATTGAGGCTTTTTGGTGTAGCTAGGCAGGATTTACAGTTTCTGAAGCTTTTCTTCCAAACTCCACACCTCACTCTCCTTTCAATTTAAAAATCTCCAGGGACTGGAAAAGAAAGTTGAATCAGTGTGAAGAGAGGGGGTATGATCTGCTCCCATGAAAAAAGAGAAACTGCATCTTACTCTAATTAGCGAAAGAAAACGCTAGGCTAAAATCTGTCTATTTACATAATTTCCACATGACTGTCTACTTAGCTAATTAAAAAGGCCAAGTGGTTGTGTGTATAATCAGATCAGCATGGGAGAATCAAAAGTGAGGAGCATGTTCGTATCAGAAAGACTCAGCTGTTAACACAGATCTCAAAGTATTTTACAAAGCAGATAACCAAGCCTGGAAGAATTATTCGGCCTTTAATGGATGAGGAAATCAAGGTCCAGAATGGTCAAGCAGCCTGTTCTAGTTCCCAGATTAACTCTAGACTGGTCAATGTGCATCTTTACACACTAAGAGCCATTTCAAAGTTTTTACAAGTGATTTTGTCAATCTGAATTAATCTTATCCACTAAAAAATGAGGCAGAACTCAGTATTATTGCTAAATGCAATAGTTGAAGGCATTATATAACTGAAATACAAATATATTAGAATATATTAATGAGTGTTATCTGAATATATTACTCAAAACACACTGCTGTCCACTTGATACGATTACTTTTTCCTGAATACTGAAGGCAAGCAGTAAAAACTACAAGGGATAATCTGGCTTTGATGGCAACAGGCCATACATATTCTCTTCTATATCAATTACTACAGCACAGAAAAAAAAATCTTTAAAAAATTTATAAGATTGAAAAAAGAACACATCTATTCCTAAGTAAGAGAGTTTCTTTACATAAAATATTTATATATGTGCTTAAATCTACTTGTAGCAAATATGACCGTATTTCTATGCAGTGTTTTCATATTCTATGGCTTCAAAAGCCAATTAAATACTTTTAAAATATTATGGGGGAAAATCTATTAAGAAGTAGATTGTTGTATTTTTATAGCAATTTGATTACATTAAAAGTGTTTTTCCCTGTGTTGCTGACAGCAGCAACCTCTATACTGATAGCCTTTCGCATTAAGTGTGTCAAAAATGCTTTTTAAGGGAAGAGTAGGTATTATTAAGGACACTTTACAAGCATGGAGCTGGGGAACACTGAGATAAACGGCTTCCCAAGACTTGCCAAAGAGCAGGACACATCCAACTAAGGCAACAAGGGAAAGGTCTACGTTTCTCCTAGTTATTTCTGTCTTCAGAGTTAGCAGGGAGGATCAGGCCTGATGCATCTGGTTTTTATATAGATGTTTGCAAGTAGATGAGAATAACACAGTGCTCTAAGGGTACGTTTCTCTCCCCTGGCTTTGAAGGCAGCAGAGGACACCTAGCTCGGATGGAGCTGTCTGCTCTACAGACATGTGAAACAAGAGGAGATCAATCGCACCATGAATCTAGAAATGCAAATCTCATTGGTTATATTTTGAAAAAATAGATAATCTAGGTAATTTTGCTACAAAGCTGGTGATACAAAGCTTCCCACTTGATTACATGAAATTCACCTAAAGTTCAGTCATTTTCTAAAATGAATGTAACCTACTCAGTCTTCACTTTTCCCTCTTGTACCCTTGCTCACTGCTACCATGAATACAACTTTCTGAAGAATTTTTGTATTGTGGGAATTGCACAGCAGAGATAATGTAACTTCTTGCACGGTGACAAAGTCTATCTATAGCAAATGCAAAATATTTTTGGAGGAATTCACATTCAGCTATGCAAGGCCCCCTGCAACTTGGTTGGTTCTAGGCCAGGTGACCTCTAGGGTATCCTTCTAACTAATGGTTTCATTCTCTGATTTTGTATTAATTAAAAGTTCCCCATGTTCAATATTTAACACATTTGGAAAATTTATTATGCAGTTACATATGCATTCATTAAAGCACTAATATACTGGTAAAAGACAGATAGGAAAACAACAGGAATTAATTCTTTCTTACCAAATTCAGTATTTTGATGGGTAAGTTTTCAAGGCCACTGATTGCAGTGAGTCTGTTGTGTGACAAGCTAAGATGAATCAGACTACGACACTTCTCTAGGCCTCTTATCTCCTCTATGTTATTAACTGTAGAGAGGTTTCTGCAGTCAAGGAAAATACCCAAGTAAGGAAAAAATAATTAAGTGAAAAAAAAAATCTTAGAAATAACTAGTAGCTACATTAGCCAATGGAGCTGGACATGAAATATTTATGCCAAGGGGTTTAAAATCCCAGCTGCTCATATATCCTCCCCTATTCTGAAGCATCTGCCTCCTTTTGGGACTGTCACAACTTTTTGCGGTGCTGCAGGAAAACTAGTCACTCAAGGGAAGCAGGTAGCAATATTCTTTTTTTTTTGGATGACTTTTTAATCCAGATTATTTGTGTGACTTGGTTCAGTGCAATTGGCATCTTGCAAAGCTGCACTCTTGGTTTTAACAGATGCACATGTGCAGGCTACAACATATAAGCCACAATGTGATCAAATTTAATGAGGCACTAACCATGTTAGCTCAGTTGTTGGATACAGGAACATGACTAAGATGTGGCACCACCTTTTTATGATTATGGAGTACTTAACACGGCTTCCAAATTACCTTGACCTCCAAATATTACCTAGAAATTTCCCAAGTAACAAGGGGCAGTAGTATCATATGGGATTACTTCACTCCAAGTTAGATCTGCTCTGTATTGGCTATCAGAATGGGGAAAGTGTCCCTTACATTAACCTTAAAATCAAAAGTACCACTTAAAATAGGCAGGATTCTTCCGGAAAAAATCCTGCTTTAACATAACTATGAAGATTCCTTAAACAAATGCACGTTTCCTTTGACAACCCACCTGTCTCAGACCACTGAGGATGGGATGAACTCCAGGGGTACCTGTCTCCCTCCACTGAGCTGAAAACAAACTTTTGACAACTTTGCCTGGGTACCGAATTGTTTGGTGACTGAAATTAGGTAAGAAGAAATCCACTCCTATCCTAAGTGCCCAAACTGGAAACGCATACATTAAAAAACAGAAAAATATTTGGAAAAATAAATCCCACCAGAATTCCTTTAAGCACAACACGCATAGCACACAGAGAAATGCACCTGAACAAGAAAAAAAACAATTTTAAGTGACTAGAGAGAATGAATTCTACCTCCCAACAGGAATAACTGAGTTTTCACTAAAATTTCTAGACTTACTAAGCTGCGGACAAATTATCAGTTATTTTTCTCTCACTCTGAATGGTATTGCAAACCCAACCCAAATACAAGCTTAGCCAGGGCAAATATAATTATCTTTAACACAATTTTTGCCTGATTACACTCTTATATGGGACTTAATAGTATACTGTTAGTAAGCTCTACACTCACAGGCCTAGATGGATCAGGAGAGGATGAGAAATGAGCTGGTTAGCACAGAAAGAACTTTTCCAAGAACCTCACACTAGGCTGTCTCAGACATTTAGAAAGAAGCCAAAACCATCTGCAAACACCACTTTTTGACAGATATTCATTGATCTGCATTCAAAAAACAGGCCTGTTCCTCTTCCAACGGAGAGGGAAAATTTGGCTGAACAAAGAATTTGGGTCAATATAAGTGAAATAAAATAAAAAAAGAATAATAATTGCTGCCAGTAAACACAAGCACCAGCCTGTTCTGAGGCCAAGAGGTTTAAGCATCAATACGATGCAGCAAATCGCTCAGCACTAAGAACTAGTACAATCAATTTTAGTCTCTTAATGGGCCACTCTAATGCTTCGTCAGCTATTATTGCCCAAGCTGCTTCCCTGTTTGGTTTGGGCAGTTTCTTCCCTGAAAATTAGTTTATAATCCCATCAGGTGTATTTTTTGTCCTGCCAGAAAAACTTACAGTGACCTTCCCATCTGCATCATAATTCAATTAAATATGGTAAGAAATGCTTAGCTACTGTCACTGAGCAAACACATGCCAAACATTTCCGCTATTGGATGCTATTTAAAATAGTTAATACTTTTAGGATTATAAAGAACAGCTTGTTTGGTCTGCCATGTCTCCTGTGTGGAGAGCTTGACACAAGCGAGGAACAGTTCCACTTTGCTGTTCTAAATTCTGCACTTCTAAATTCTGCACTCAATTTTCTCAGTTTCAGAGGGTCCCAATTGCAATTGTGTGCATGAACCAGTTGTTCTCCCCTCTTGCTGACATCAGTGCAAATGAAGAAATGCTGCTGCATTCAAACCACAGTCACCCACAATCCAAACCTCTGCTCTTTTCTTCCCTTTCTTTCTGTCATGTGGTTTTTGCTTTGCAATTGAAAATTACACTTGCAAAGAGCTCGAGCCCCATCACAATTTTCTGACAAGAATTGTGTCACCTGTACGCCTTGTAAAACGTGGGAACAATGTAATCTGGATGCCCTGCAGAAGCATTATCTGTTCCTACATGACAAAGATATTGTATTAATATCCTTTGATAATGGGCTACGTCAAGGACAAGAGATAGAAAAAAAAATCCTGCAACAATCTGCTGTCTGCTCCTTTTGCAGAGCAAAAGAGTCAAGGTATCATTTCTGAGGCAAAGAGAAAAGGCAAATAAGCCTTCAGGAAGCAACTGTAAGTAAGGCAGCGTGTGGATGTGAAATTACAGAAGATCTTTTAAAAAAGCACAAGGGAAATTTCATGAGGGACAGAAAAAAATTTGCAATTCCTCTCTTTGTCTGAGAGCAGATAAACATTTTAACCAGATTACATTAAACATTTTAAGCAGATTAACATCTTTAACCAGAGCAATGTTTCTACTCCTCAAAACAGGGTACTACAGCAACAACTTCCCTCCATGTGTGCACACAACAGCATCCTCCAGGAAGTCTTATGTCTGTTAAAGATCTTCTTCACTGTCATTTAATGGGTTTGCAGGCCCTCTATAGGACCTCAACAATTAGCTATAAGATTAGCACGCATCTTTGCCACTTAAAGAAGCTTACTGTTCCAAGCTGATTTCCTATTAACCTTTTCTATATAAAAATACTGGCATTTTGATTTGGATTACTGTTGCAATTTATCTCAAGAGGTGTATAACTTATAAAAATACCACAAACATAAAAATACCATTTTTGGCTGCTCAGAGAGTTAAAACACACTTCACATCCCAATGGAACGGGTTATGAAGAGGTCTGCATTTACTTACTGCCTTGGATATGTGAAGCCAGTGTGACATGTCACTTGTAGTTTTACAGGATGCAAAGGAGGGGTGATGGTGGTGATGGGCTCTAACAGCCTATTATTTTACATATATACACGAACACCTTTAATATCATGCACGTTTTATTAAGAACAACTTCACCATTAAAATTAGAGCTGTTTGATGCTGGTTTTACACAAAAATGTGACATAAAAGAAGAATGCAAAGAAAACATGCACCTATTTGAAACAAAGTGTTCTTCAAAAAGTAAAAAAGCAACTTTTCTCCCATTCAGCTTTCCACAAAGGATACAGTCCAGTAAGAGTTTAGTAAGTGACTGGTATGCTGATAAATCTTGCATTTTAGGTATTTGATTGCATGAAAAATCTACTTCCTAAAGAGAGAGAAAAAAAGACAAAGTTACTTTCTGTCTTTTCCATTTACAGATGCCTTCTGAATCTAAACAGCTGTTACACTAAACATCTGATCAAGGTTGTGGAAGTAAGATCACTAATACTAATAGTGGTTGAGACAAACCGAAAGGCAGAAAGGCTCTTTTCTTTAAGAAATAGTTCAATTTTGGAAAGTTTCAAAGCTGTACCTTCTTCCAATAACATTTTCATGGACAGCCTTGGCAATTATGCACACATGCAGTGTAAAAACAAAAAAAATGATGGGGAAGACAAAGAAATACATTAAGGTAGTATTTTGAAACAACCTCCTGCTTCTTATAACCTATAGTGAGTTATATGAAAAGAGCAGCAAAAGGAAAAATAGCATATGGCTACATTTTAAATACATGCTGCACAATTGCAATGGCTGCCAGTCAATTTGTAAGGTGGGGATTTTAAAGGTTTGATTAATTTTGCAAGAAAAAAATACTTGGCTTAGATTACCCCTGGCTAGAGCAGTCAGCTTTGCCAGGGCATGCTGGGTTTCAGAATGAGAAAGAAAAGGATAGAAATGTGCAACCTAAGTTATCCAAACATTCCAAAGAAGTGTTAACATATCAATAAAGTGAGAAAAGAAAAAGCAGAAAGAAAGCATAAAATTTGGCTACCGCACACATTCAAATACAAACTCCAAGTTCATTTAGAAAACCACCTTGAACTTAAACCTAGCAAAATGCATTTTCTGCAACTTACCTTGAGATTTTTAGGCGGTTTAAATACAAAATATGTAGTCAATTCATTGTTGGAAGCATTGAGTTCCAGTAAGTAGGGCATCTGACTGATACATGAAAGATCTAATAGCAAAGCAAAATGCCACAGTATAAGAATTCATAGGTAAATGCAGATATTACTATGTGAAAATAATGTCCACTAGCAATCAAGAATCAATTTTGGATCACACAGTCAGAAAGAAATATTTAAAATGCAGGAGTCGGATCTATTAACATGTTCTAACAGAAAAAAAAGAGGGTTTTTAAAACTCTAGGAGTGAGCATTTGAATTATGCTTTAAATCTCCATTATATAAACTGATTGGTCCATAAGCCAAAGTGTAATTTTCTATTCTAGCTACTTCTAAAATGATAGAGAAAATACTTTTATCCTAATTTATTAATTATTGGAGAAGGATTTAGGACATTAGTGAAGACAAAATGATCAGTTGCTATGGAAAAGTCCTTGCTCTGTTCAGACAGAGCCTACACAGACAACCTGTTAGCAAAATGAGCAGAAAGAAATGCTGCCTTACAATAGTTTTGTTATTCATTTGATACCAGTACTTCAAATGAAAATGAAAATGAAAAAAAAAAGAATGAAATAAAGCAACATGTTGCCACCAAAACTTATTCTTTATGATGTAAATGAATTGGGGGAGAAGGATATGAGAGAAAAGAAATGGAGGATGGGTTTTATCCCAGTTTCTGTTTGTGACTATTCCAAATTCAGACACAATTTCTTACATTTTACCATCTATGGGAAGCCTTGCCAAATGAAAGCCTAAGACTAACAGCACAATAGCAGGCATAACTATAAACGTTCTGACATATGCACGTGTTAAAATCTCAATTAACCTTGCACTAACATGCTTGTTTGCATTTTACTTTTTGATAATAAACTGGACAATAATCCTCACATTCCCACTGAGCAGCATATGCCAGGGCAGATGCACGAGCAGTTCACGTGTCATTCTCAAGAAGATGTAGCCATCACCTCACTCTGTAGACCTGAAGTACTTGCCCCATTAAGACGCAGACCAGCCTTTGTGATATTAAAGCTGCATGGTACACTGCACTTCTCATCTTCAACGATTTCACAACCCAAGAATTTATTAGTGTATTTACTACATACCATTAATTTTATTATATGAAAGTTCCAGCTTCTGTAGGTGAACGTATTTGGAGAGAATGTTAATGTCACTCAGCTTACGACCCTGGAAAAATAAAGCAAAGGGACTTTAATAACTAGGTGGATAACCTCAGACTGCTCTTCCAAGAGACACACAGTAGCAGGAGACACTGAAGAGGTGCCTGGAGCTCTCTCCGGATGGATGATAGCTCTTCATGCTCCAGAACAGGATGAACACATATAGAGAGAGAGGTCAGGCCTGTAGACCAGTCACAAATGGAGAAAATGTCATAAACAGAATTTAAAATGCAACCTGACAAAGAGCTACAGATAGGGAAATGCACAAAATAAAACTGCATACACACAAAATAAGACTGCATACAAAAGGAGTCTACAGGAATTTATCTTTAATTAGACTTGATCATTTCAACCTTCGATGCAATAGATACTGAATGTGGCAGAAGCTACTTCCTGATTTCTTTTTCATTTTTTTTTTTTTTTCCTCCTGCCAGATCCATTAATTGCAGTCAAAAAGGGGAGATCTATCATCAGAGGAGGAGCATTTTACAATCATGTTGCTTACACTTACTGGAAGGGACAGATGAAGATAAACATAGTCGATACCAGGGGCTGAGCGTCCCAGTTTGTGCAGACCCTCAGCCACAGTGTCTTCATCCAACACTCCATCAAACTCATCCTAGAAAATACCAAAAAGGTGGATTTAGGAGAAACGCAACTTGGAATGTAACTCAGAATGGAGTATAAGAAATGACCTCAATTACTCCTTCAGTGCTCCACAACCCTGCTACACCCATACACCACAGGAAAAAAATGATGAATACACTCCTCAACACAGATAAATAGGAACACGTCTTGTGCTAATTCTGAATATTTAGAAAGTTTCCTCAAAGGCTGAGGTGAGATTTTTTTCAGCGTTTTTTGCTTCTTTGTTTGACCTTGTGGTTTAAACAGGACTTGTTCTCAGAGACACTGAGCCATGACCCTCCCATAGATTATGGATGTTAACATCACAGCAAAGCACCACTAAGACCTCTCCAGTGCTGTGCCCCCACATGCCCATACCCACGTTATTGGTGGCCCTTTAATTTTTTTATTTTTAGCATGAGCAGCTAGTGCCGCTCTTCAGAGAAAAGTCTTTGCCAAAGAGGCTAGTTGACAGATGGCACTAATGAACCAGCGCGTAGTAGGTTCAATGAGAAAATAAACCACTGGCTTGTGAAATTCCTAGGAGCTGGGAGAAGTCACACAACGATCTCTAATCTAGGGACCAAGATAAATAATTTTTCAAATGTAATCATCCAGATCTTAACATCTACGTGTTACAGCAAATGGGGACTATGGATATATTTCCATTAGATAAAAATATTAGGCAATAATGTTGTCGCACTGGGCACTTCAGAGGCCAGCAGAGCAGGCAGAACAAATTCACTTGTACCCAGGGAATCACTGAGGCCCAGGGCTGGGCATGTGCAGGGCCAGGTTTAATTTGGCAATTTATATGACAGCAGATCCCCAGGCTTGACACAGCAAGGAGAGAGATCTGGAAGCACCCTGCCTACCACAGGGATCGGAAGGGACTCTAAGGGCTGAGATGGGGAGTAGGGAGAAACAGTGGCTTGGCCTCAGGTTTCTTCCTTTGGATGCGAATGAGGAACCACTGCCTTGTGCCCCATCACTGCTCCTTTCTGCCCCCTGCACCCATAGAAAGGGAAAAAGGACCTTCCCCCATGAACATCCCCCTCCCCAAACAGCTGAGGGGCAATGAGCTGAACCTCCACAGGCTCCTCTTCCTCATCCTCCTCATCCTCCTCATCCTCTTGACCAGGCAGGCTGAGCTGTGTCTGCTGGAGGCTGGCCTCATCCAGACGCCTCTCCGGGCTGGCCTTCTGGGATGAGGGATGCTTCAGGGGCACCTGAGCAGGGGGAGACAGCTCCATGGGGACGCCCTCTGCCCGCTTCTCCTCGCCCTCGGCCATGGGCTGTGCGACAAGGAGCGAGGGCCGAGCCCGGGCCCTGTCACCCCTCAGGCCAGGCCGCCGCCATCTTGTTTGCTCTCCCGTCGCCGTGGAAACGGCAGAGGAGCCACCCTGTGTGGAGAGAGGTTTCGCGCCATCCGGCACAACCAGCCAATAGGAAAATGACTAGTGGAGCAGTGCAGGCTGGGAGTTGTAGTTTTTCACGGAGGCTGCACCCCCCCCCGCAGCTTGTCCGCAGAGCATGCCGGGAGTTGTAGTCCTCCCCGCGCAAGGAAGGGGGCGCCATTTCTGTGACACGGAGCAAACGAACAACGTTGAAGGCAGAGCTGTCCATCCACAAACGCAAACGGGCTTTGCTCGACGGCTCCATAACAAGCGCTGTGCAAGCAGCCCATGGCATGGCTGTACGCTGGCTTCCAAGTGGCTGTTTTGGCTACTGGCCCGTTCTGGTTATCAGTGTTTTGGTCTGGAAAGTGACTTTGGTCACTCACCCTTGAAGACTCAGCCACATATGGGGGTGACGATTTGGGATTGCTTAAACTGTAGAAGGAGTGTGTTTCCTTAAAACAGAACAAAAGACCCTGTGTTAAAATTACCTTACCTACATATATATATATGTCGGTGAAATTAGCTGCTTGACACACTGTGTTGCAGAGGAAGAAATAATAACAAAAACTCTCATAAGAATACAATGTGACAGACACCAAACTTTTTGGACCACAAAATATCTTACAGATACCAAATCCCCTCTTCACGGAAACTGTCAGCAAAGACACTCAAGATAAATAAGAGTTTGTGCAAACATGTTTCGTGATTCCTTGCGTTGCGCACAGTCACCCCTTGGGGCTGGTCATGCCCTGTGGCAATGAGATCCACAGATTCATTATGTGCCATGTTTAAAAAAAATAAAAATTGGGAATATGTATTTATTTATTTGCCCTCATTTTATGTCTCCCCAGTTCCCAGTACATCTATGGTCTACCTTGTGTTCTTGTACTACAAAACAGGCTAAAATGAGAAAGCACAGCCATAATGAAAAGGGAGGGAGAAGATCTCCCAGGACGTCTGCTAATACTCTGTCTGACCCCAAAACCAAGCCATTAAATAAAAAAAAGAAAAGAAAAAAGATATAAAAAGTCCTTATGGACACCATCCACTGACTTTTATCTCTGTGCTCCAGGGAAACATTATAATAACTGCAATAAAGCTCCCCCAAATTACCTTCCTTCATTATCTTGCTGGCCGTAAATGTTAAAACCCTTAATGAGATTTACTCCGTTTCCACTAAGCACCCTGTGTCTCTCCTCCGTGAGCCCACGGGGCACAGGGAATGCCCTGGGAAGGCTCTTCTCCAGATGGTCTGTGCATAGGAACCGCATTCAGGGAATGGCAGAGCAAACACAAGGCCTCAGGATCCTTAAAAAAGGATGGAAAAATAATGAAATGGGAGGATGGATCCTATCCGGAAATCAGTGTGGATTAGAGAGGCTTTTGGGTTTGTTCTGACCTAGCAGAGCAACTTTTGAGTCACCAGAGCTACAAAACTAAGTGGGCGCTACTAGAGGACAGCAATTACTTGCTCCCTATTGGGCTGCCTTATTTTTTTCTAGCTTTTATGAAGCTTAGGATATTCCCTTGCTCTAAAACACAGTGTTTTCTACTGCACTTTTGCAGATGAGTGGAATTGGACAACATCACTGATATCAGCCCAGAAAGCTGATGAACCCATAAGGAAACTTCACTGTGTAAGCTGTATTTTAAACCAGGAAAGGATTTTTTCACATACCTTTTCTGCATAGAAGCAGAAGAGGTTCCTCTTCCGCATAGGAGCAGATGTCCAGGTGCTGCATGTGGGATTCCCCATGCAAAGGATCTGAGAGATATCTGGATGTGGGTATTTATCCAGCCTGATGGTGGCCTGGTCATCCATGCGTTTCCAGATCCATTTATGTTCTCATGAACCTGATCACAGCCACACATTAACATGTTGAGCATTTGTTGCAGTTACTACTGGACATCTTTATATTAGTCTGCCAAATCTGAGCAAGTTTCTGTAGGCAAGGGAGAAAATCAGGCATTTTCAACACTAATTGAAGGTGAGCTGGATTAGCCCCAGAGGTAGCTCCAAGGTGGTGCAACAGCAATGCATGTGGTTGTCTGGACCTGACTGGGTTTAAATCCCTTTGCCTGTGTGTATATATGTATAAATTCAAAAAAGAAAAAGGAAGTTTCATCTCCATATGAGGAGGAACTTGTTTGGTGGGAGGGTGCCTGAGCCCTGGCCCAGGCTGCCCAGGGAGGCTGCGGAGGCTCCTGCTCTGCAGATCTGCCAGCGCGCCGGGATGCGCCCGGGTGCCCCGTGCTCTGGGTGTCCCTGCGGGAGCAGGGGCTGCGCTGGGGGAGCCCTGCGGGTCCCTTCCAACCTCAACCGTTCTGTGGTTCTGTGTTTTTTGTGTCCTTTGCAGCCACACATCGTGTTGTTCCCCCAGCTCTCCACCAACAGGGGAACATGAGGCGAGCGACAGGCTGAAAGAGGAGGAGAAGGAAGCCGAGATGCTCAGATTAACACGCAGTAGATTTGTAGATTTGCTGCGAGGCACTTGCTGAAGCCCCAAGCTCTCCAAGAGGCAAAGGCCACACATAATGAAATTAACAGCTAGCTGGGCAGCTTCTCCATGTAAGAAGGAGCTGGAGACTTCATGGAAACAGATGATAGGAAAAAAAAAGGGCAGGCCCAAATGCAGCGCATGGGGGCTGCCGTGGAGCTTGGAGCAGAGCCAGCAGGGCTAATGAGTTCTCTGCGTGGAAGTCCCCCAGAGTTTATTTCCTACCATCTGGAAAATGTCTGCCCTTCCACTGGGATTCGTGATGATTCAGACAGGAGAGGGGATTATTAAAACCTCAGTCCTCCTTCCGTGCCCCCTTCTGCCCCATCTGTTTGGGCAAGCAGTGCGGGGCTGCTCATGTGCTCTGGGATGAAATGACTTCTTTAAGACCCCTCTCTCCGTGGGTGCAATTGGAGTGCAAGTAGCCTCAGGTATTTAGGGCTAGAGACAGATTATTCCTGAATGGGGCTATTTAAAAATGAGACACCATCATTAATGCTGAGAGGACTGGTAGGATGCTCTGGACCACTTCTTTAGGCTCAAAGAGCCCAAAGCACTTTCCAAAGTGGTGTCTGTTTTGTTCTAAATATCAGTCATGGGCAAGATGAGTTTCAGGTCTTGATCACAGAATCACAGAATGGTTAAAGTTGGAAGGGACCTCTAGAGATCATCTAGTCCAACCTTCCTGCTCTAGCAGGGACACCTAGAGCACGTGGCACAGAGTGGCATCCAGGCGGGTTTTGAAGATCTATATCCATTTTATCGTCTTGGATTTGTGCACTTCGCTCTGCTTTCTCTTCATCCTTATGTGACCTCCAGCAGCTGCTGGTTGGATTTTAGCTCCAGGTTCTCCAAAGAAGTCCTGTGTGGGCACTACATTTCCCTAGTGATATTTAGTGTTTCCAGCCCCAAAACATCATTCCGATCATTCCAACCTTTGCTGAGACCTTGAACCATTGCTGGCAGACACAAGTCACCTCCACGGAGATGTCTTGAAGCTGATGGACCCTTCATGAGGTTGTGGATTTGTAGTGACGGTGCCTTTGATGGAGTGTGTTTAGGGGAGCCCTTAGCAGTAATTATGCACATGCTTCCAGAGAAGTGCCCATGTTTAGGTTTTCATGCAGCTAATTTATAAACGGTTTGACTCCTGTCCTGTTTGGAGATATATTCACCCACCAGCCTTGCTCTTCTGCATCTCTTTTCCAAGTTTCCCTGGATCAATCCATTGGTCAAAATCCAAGGAGGCAATTTTGCAGGGAGGCAAATGCAAGGAGCATTTCTGTTGCCATAAGGAGGCATGGATGGAATGAAGTGCAACCTCCGTGTTTTCAGTAACGTGGCCTCTTGACCTGCTAAAAGAAGCGGGGAGGATGGCCCAAGCGCTTATCTCTGGTCGCCCAGCACTTGCAGGTTAATCCACTCATGTTTAAAGTATCATTAAAAAAAAAATAGGAGCTGTACAAAGAGTGTCCTTCTTCTGTAATCAGCTGGGAAAGAGCTAATCATGCAGATGAGGAACTCTTACAGTTCCCCTAAATGTCGGGGGCTTCTCGGTGATTAAAGAGCAACGTCTCAGTTTTTCATAGCCTGCTCTGACACGTTCTTGTTCCTCGTGTGAGAAGGGGGATTTCTTGATACACCAAGAAAAGATAAAACTGTAGGAATGATGTTTGATGAGGGGAACAAGACTGGCTGGCTGGTGGGCAAGCAGGGTAAGAGAAAGAGCCACTCGCAACACAACCAAGGTAGCTTCCCTCATAGGAAGCAAGTAATTTGTGGTGAGCTTTGGATCACAGACAGAGCAATATTTACCAGGACTGTCATGTGAGGTCAGTCCCACCAAGCACCCGTGTTTCAATTGGAGATGTGCAGTTTTGCATCATTTGAGGACTGTCAAAAAAGTAGGACCCACCAATGACTTGGCCAACAGTGATGATAGCGATTGACTTGGCAGCAGCCCGACCCTTCCTATCACAGCCTGAGCTTCCAAAAGTGGAGAGATCTGTGGAAGAAACACCCTGTCTGAGCCACGAGGGACTTCTTTGCTTTATGGAGGGCTGGTGAAAGATCTTCTTGAGTTTAAATCTCAAGGAAGTGGCTGGAGAAATTCAGACGGGTTGGATATGACCCCTCCACCTTTGCTAAAGAAAGGCAACTCATTAATCTGCTGTTCCCTGGTAGCCAAAGGGTCCTATGTGGCCCCAAGAATGGGAGATGCACTCCCAGACAAGTCAAGCTCATGTCTCTGCAGTTTGAAAAGTGCTTGGCTTGGTGGGAACCTTTCCCCAAATTCTTCTCGTTCTGGAGCAAGTAGCACTGAATTGATTAAAAAAATAATAATCCAGAACTGAAGCTCTAAATCAGCCGTTATTATCCTAATAAAACCTTCCCAGTATCGACAGAGGAAGCATTTCATACTCAGAAGTGTTAAAACGGTGAATGTTGGCCTTAAATACACTGATTTACAATTCAATTATAAAAACAATCAGCTCCCAAATACACGCCACATGCAAAGCAGATTTATGGGCAGCCCTAGCACTTTGATAGCACTTTGCAGCTGCAAAAGCCTCAGGCAGAGTCGCCCGGTGATTCACCTGGAAGCACCAGGCAGTAAAAGGTCCCAGCTGGATGCGGGGCGTAAAGGGGAAACCAGAAATGCTGCCAAGCTGCTCCTGAGGAGGAAGAGACTGTGAAAGAGCCAGCGTGCACGCAGCTGAAATCACATTTAGCTAGGATTTGCCAGCTCCCTTTTCCATGGCAATGGGGAAGAGGAGGTAGTTTAGTCCCAACTTGGCTTAGCCCTATGGCTGAGTTAATATTTCGCTGCTCATCCCACTGGGAGCCCAGCCAGATTCCCCAAATTAATTCCCTTGGGAGAAGCCCGAGTTGCCCTCTCTCCTTAGCTCCTTGTCTTGCTCACAGCTATAGGTGAGGGATTTCATCGCAGGGCTGGATCCTCTTGCGTTGACCCCTCCAAGAACAGGAGAACACTAACTTTCTAATACAAACAGCTGCTTTGCCATTACCCTCTGCTATTTCTCTCCCTTTTCTTGTAGGTTCCTAGGATTTTCGCCCCTCTACTGCTCACTGCCTGTGATCACCTGGATGTGATGGTCCTGGGATGGAGGGGGACGTCGCAAGGAGCCAGATCTGCAGCGTTGCCTCAACTCAGCGGGAACGTCAAGGAATAAAATGACCTTGAAATTCATGGAAGGCCTTGGAAAGGGTTCAGCCCTGGGGTCAAGACTCAGGCCACTTCCCTGTGTCCTTTCCCTCAGGACCGCTTTCATGTCCCTAATTGCCGGGAATCCGGTGTCTGGATGAACACGCTGAGCTGCAGCAGTGGAGGGAGCGATTTGTCCGTGCCAAATACATTTCATGCTGCAACTCGTGCTGGAGGAAATTACAAACTCTGAAGTCCAAGGCCCTAACAGTCCAATTTTCTCCCCTGATTGCCACGGTGCCTAAGCCTAACAGACTAAATAATGAACACGGATGCAATGAACTTCCCCATAAATCGCTCCTGATGAATTTCATGTAGGTCACCCAAAAGCAAATTTAATCATTATATGCTGGCCACGGCTACCTCAGTTCTGTTTTCTTTTTTTCCTTCCTGGCTGAGCTGTTAGATCTAATCAGCAAAGGAAGGAACAGAAAATAAAATAAAATGCATCATTTCTGAGCACGCTTCTCCATTTGATGCAAAAAAAAGGTAAAGCCTGAAGTGCAGGGCACAGCTGGCTTTGGCTTGGGTTGACAGGATGGTTTTGCACTGCAATGAGAGCAGCGCTGGTCCTCGGGGGACCGAGAGGCTGCTGCATGGCCTGGAGCCCCATATTTGCCTTCCCTGCATCCAGCTCCCTTCCCAGTTCATCGTCCATCAGGCCCATGTGGAGCTCAAGCTCTTCAGGAAGGACCATCCCTTCACATGGGGATGGAAGGATGGTCCTTCCATCCTTCAGGAAGGACCAGCCCTGCCTGAGGCTCAGATCACTTCTGTGATAGAAATGTGGTGGGTCACCGGGCACCTAATGAGCGTTAGGGCAACTCCAGGCCTCGGCTAATTAATTCCTGAATTACTTCCTGAAATTAGAGCACAGTTTCGTGCTCGAGGTCTGCAGAGATGGACTGAGCTTGACTGTTATTTTATGTTCCCATTCTGGGCAGTGACCCCCAGAGTGAGGATCGGTGGCCAAATAGCCACTGGCCATTCCCATGACTTCTCCATGTCCCCACTCCCTAAATGACTTCCCTGCACGAAAACCTCCCTCTTTATCCAAAAGCAATAAGATCAACATTCCTGGGATGGTAATTTCCTCTTGGCAATTCTCCCCTGCACCCCGAGTTCCCTCCCCTTCATTGCCATGTGCCACACTGAAAATGAAAATTGCAATTATGACTTGTGCCAATAAAATAAAAGTGCAGCCAATAAAAGGCAAAAGGAGAGGCTGGGTGGAATGGAGCGAACTTCTCTGCAGAAGTTTGCAGGCAGGGCTGTCTCTGAACGGCTGCATTCATCACATATGTGGAAATTTAGGAGGGGATCCACTCCACGATTTCCCTGGGGGCTTAAATATGTATGTATAAATACATAAGCATCTATATATGTATGTGTATTTTTGTTAAACAGAAAAGTTACCTTAATCGAGAGGATGTCGGAGTGCAGAAGGCTCTCAGGAGATGAAGAGCTCGAATTGATACCCAACTGTGGAAGAAACAGGAACAATTTCCTTTACTTCCCACTCCTGCTATTGTGTCTGGCGCAATAGCAAAATAGTGTGATAATTAAAACCCAGTAAAGATGATGACGCTGTAAAGAGGAAATTGTGAAACCCTCGTGAACTTTTACAGCCCCCATGAACATATTTCATTTTGCGGTGCAGGGGAGTCTTTCCTTGTCTCCTGAAGCACCAAAGGGCCACATCCATAAAACGATTACTCGTTTTCTGCTGCTGCCGGAGCTCACAGTGTTTCATGTTGCATTATGACACCGAATCCGTAGCCTTGTCCTTAAACCGTCTTGTATTTGCAGGGCTGCATCAGGAATGCAAAATCATCACCGGCGAGAGGTGCTGCAGGGAGCAGAACAGATGCAGATCGTGTTTGTGGTCTCACAACCCCACTTTGGGGTAAAGTGGGGCGAGTTTGTGTGGATGGCTTCCATGGGTAGGCTGGGATGGAGGAAGAGCTACCAGAAAACAAGAGGCTGAAGGGAAGTGGGTGCTGAGAAGGCAGTGTAGGAGTTTCCCAAGGGCCAGTAAGTTCAGGAGCCCAGTGGTTGTCTTGAATCTGTGAGAACTGATGAACTCAGGACACCCAGAGCTGCCCAGAAATGTGCAAGACCATGAGTGTCATCAACATGACCACTACAAACAACACACTGAGTGATCTGGACCGCACCAGCTCAGTAGCTGCTATGTGGAAACGAAGATTACCAGCCTATATAGATGTCCCATGATTTCCTAGGGCTAAGGAGAAATATTTTTGCCATTATCTTCCTGTGATACTGTGAAAAAGCCTGTGTAGACTATGCCAATGGATGGCTGAAGTGAGGTGTTTATGGTCTGGATTCCTAGATGCCACAAGCTGCTCAAACCTTTCGCTACCTTTCTTCCCTTGCCTGCAAAATATACACAGAATAATGTGCTGCCATTGAGAGGGACCTGGACAGGCTGGAGAGTTGGCCAGAGAGGTACCTCATGAGGTTCCACAAGGACAAGGGTAGAATCCTGCACCTGGGCAGGAATAACCCCAGGCACCGGCACAGATTAAGGATTGACCTGCTGGAGAGCAGCTCCATGAAGAGGGACCTGGGAGTCCTGGTGGACACCAAGTTGCCCATGAGGCAGCAGAGCCCTCGTGGCCAAGGAGGCCAATGGGCTCCTGGCTGCATCAGGAGGACGTTGGCAGCAGGGCAGGGAGGGGATCCTGCCCCTCTGCTCAGCTCTGGGGAGGCCAAACCTGGAGCACTGGGGGCAGCTCTGGGCTCCCCAGGACAAGAGGGACGTGGAGCTTCTGGAGAGGGGCCAGCGCAGAGCGACAGGGCTGAGGAAGGGCCTGGAGCAGCTGTGGTGTGAGGAGAGCCCGAGCGAGCGGGGCCTGTTGAGCTGGAGAAGAGGAGGCTCAGAGGGGTCCTTACATATCACTGTGTCCTCTCTCCATGGCCATGCCATGATGGGCTTGTGCCATGCCAGCAAATTCCTTCTCACATCTCAGGCTGCACATCCATGGCTTGACAGACAGTGGGAGTGACAGTTCAAAGACAACTCCTTAAAATAATCTGTTTCCAGAACAAAGACAGTCCTAGGATGGAAATTTTCTTGATTTCATGCAATCTGTCACGGCACCCACTGGCACAGCTGCTCAGTGGGTGGAAACCAGGGACTGCAAAGCTTGAGATCAGCCATGTAAAGATGAGGCAGAGCCTCAGATCATTAAGCCATTGTTTTAAGAATGAAAAAACGTCAAAAACAGTCTGACATTAGCCCGCAGGAGCCCAGTTTGAATGCAGAGCTCTTCATATGTCCCCTCTATACCTCAATAAATCTAAAATCGGTGCCTTAAATGTACCAAACAGTTCCCTTTTCTCTCCAGGAAGAACCTGCAAGGCCCCTTGCATCTCAGATCATCAAACATGTTATGATGACAGTGCTCTCCAGCCTCATCCATTTCCTCCGTCCCTGCTGTTTTTCCTTTGCCAAAGGACTAGAGGAGTGAGGAAAACTTCTTTACAGAAAAGTGCACCTGGTCAGGCCTAGGATCTAGTGCTGCAAGATATCTGAGCATACTACTTGAGAGGAATTTAGATGGAGACAAGTAGGAAGCAGAAGGAACTTGGTTTATTGAGCATAAAGGCTGAAGGAGGATAAACATACCCCAGAGATGGGGGTCAATTATTGTAGTTAATGACCAATACTAGCAGAAGAAGGACTGGGTTTGTAAATAAAATCAGGCTTGAAATCAGGAGAATATTCCTAACATCTAGAATTACTGGGTTCTGCTTTTACTGTGGAAGTTGAGAGGTTTCTTCATCAGTCAGTTTAGGGCAGGCAGTTAGATATTGAAGGATTCAGAAGTTCAGTTCCATACTGATGTAACTGCAGAGGACAATGCATGAATTTGGACCTGGAAGAGAATCTTTTCAAGTGACAAAAGTACCACGAGAATAATAATTCTTAAAAAAAAAAATCAACAAAAAAGGAAAGACAGGAGCCTTTGAGGATTCCCCTAAATATACTTTAATTTTGCAGTTTCAAGACTGATGCACAAGCAGTTGTACAGATCAGAGAGAACCCATCATAGGGTATGAAACCCAGCTGGGTTAGGAGTTTACCCTAAAAATCTACGATGTGCAGTGTATTCTTGGTCTCAAGGGTCAGCATAAACTCATCAGACTCGGGGCACAGCAGAAATGGGACTGACAAAGTATTGAGGAGCTTGCAGAGCTGGGGTCTGCTCTCCTACTGCCCTCCTTGGCCATCAGTGCTGAGCTACGTAAGCCCATGTATTCTTCAGTACATTTAATGGCAATGAGGATTAGTATCTTTTGAGCTGACTCAAAAGATATATTGAGAAAAAAAACAGAATTAAGCTCTGCTATTTTATTTGCTATTTTCTCATACACCCAACATCATCCAGTGCAGCATGAGCCTTAGGAACCAATGCCAAGTAGCTCTATCCTAGCGAAAAACAGCAGTGGAAATGAGTGGTCCCAAGTTACCTCCTACTATGTGAAAGGAATGAGCAACTAGAGCTGTTGACAGTGGAAACAGCAGAAAAATATCACCGAGAATAGTACTGGCAGGGCTGAAATGGGCTTCCCATGTAGCAACACCACTGAAAGAGCCTGAAAACCACCAAGATCCCACACTCTACCTACCAACAGATCTGCACTTGTGCATCAGGTGCCTTTTACTTTCTTGTGGTTTGAACTTCCACTGAAAAGCCTGGAGTAACCCACTATGAATTCCTCTCCTTACCCACCTTGCAGCTTCTCTTACATCTCAAGGCGAGGCAGAGGCAATAGATCAAAGGCAAATTCCCCATCCCACTGCCGCAGGACGACGGCTCCTCCTGCAATGCCATCACTCTTGGGAGAACACGTCAAGGAAGCACTGCATGAACCCACATGAACCCCCCCGCAAGCAACCCCCAAATCAAACCTCAGATGGCATTTCCCTCCTTGCTAATACGCCACCCAGAAGATAGGTGCTTTTGCCACTAATTTGAGCAGAAATGCAGAGCGTAGGACCTGCAACCCGACAACCACTGCTGCTCTGTGAAGTGACAGGGCAGATTACACAGTGGTGATTTTCTTGTCCTTGGTGGCCTGCTTGATAGCAGCTTGCTCACAGATGATCTCCTTGAGCCGCTGCAGCCTCATGTTCTGCGTGGTTTGGTCTCCGACACCCGTCTGGCTCCGGTGCAGTAAGTTCAGGGCATAGATGTACTCCAGCTCCGTGTACTTCACCCCTTGATCCACCACGAGGTTTAGGAGCTCGTCTGCGGTGTTGTAGAGCATCTCGTAATACTGCCTGGAAAGCAAGCAAGCAAAAAACACATCCTGGTGAGTATTTGTGCTTCAGCTGCAGCATGTCCTTGCCATACAGCATTATCAACTATTACTTTTTATTTAGCAGTGCCATAAGATGGGACAATTGTGTCAGGAGCTGTACAGGGAGAGCATGAGGATACGGTACATGCTCCCTGCTCCCCTCCACTTAGCTAAAACATGGGAACTGAGGAATCCTCTTCCCTACAAATTGGTGTCAGCCAAAATGTCACTGCTTGGTAACCAGTACCTAGATGGCAGTATATGGATATATATAATTATAAAGGGTTAAGGGGAGCAGAGACTTGTCCTTAGCCAACCCCTCTCGCAGAGAGATGCTGACACAGAGCATAGGAGAGCTCAAAGCCCCAAACTCCAGAGACTCCAACGCTAGTGAAACACATGGTGTCTGAGAGAGAAATATGAAATAATGCAAAATGAAATTTAAGCCAGGAGCCTAGGTGCCTCTTTTAATAAGTAAAAGCTCACCCGAGGTGATAGCATAATAAAGAGGCTGCAGAGCAGGCTGGTTTAAATTAATATTACGTGGCTTAATAAACAAATGAGTTTCCAAGAAAGGGGATTCAAAGAGCAACTTGCTGCAAGGGCAGATGAGCGGTGGGGCCAAGGAAGCAGTGGGACAATTCCCAGAGCTGGACTCTTCACCCTGGCTCCACATACCAGGCAGAAGAGGCAAAGTTCATGAGAGCTGCTGGTGGAAGGTACCACGTTTTCTAGAGGAAATGATTAGCCTTCTAACTTCACCCAGATGCCACAGAACCTCATAGAGAAACAGCTCAGGCAAGGAGGAATGGAAAGATCCCAATCTGCTTGCATGCATCCCATGGCTGCAAGGGCTTCTTGCAGCCACATACGGTCACTTCCAGCCCCTCCTTGGTTGCAGAGCAAGGCAAGGCAGAGGTGGCCACAGCAGCTGAAGAGCTGCCCCTGCATCACTCTCACAGGCTCCTATAGGAGGATGAGGACAGACCAAAATCTTAAGCCTTAGGTCTTGCTGGAATCAATTATTTAAAACCCATAAGCAGGGGCTCCATGAAAAGTTGTATCTACCCTTCCTGACTGTGGTCCTTGAATGCATTAAAATAGCTATTAGGGCAAAGAGGGGAAAGCTGCATATTAAACACCTCTTCTTTAATCTGCAGGCTCTCAAGTCTGGCTTAACTGTGCCTTTGCATAGCATCCAGCATGCAGCAAACTGCAAATCACTGCAGCAAAGATCGTAATTGGATGGGACAAAACCACTTGTTTGGAGTGGCTCAAGTCGCAGGTGGCCACTGGGCCGGGCTGCTGCGCTTTGTAGTTCTGCACTTTTATCTCCCCCATGTTCTTCAAGGCAATATCTGATGCTGTGACCTGAGAATTTGCTCCTGTGACTCAAAGCCTGCACCAGCACAACTGCCCTCAGGAGCCAGGTGGAGGGAGGCGACTCCAAAATTGTCGTTTCAAAGGACAAGGAGTGATGAGATGCAGAGGGAGCAGTGAGGAAAGACAGGAATATGCCCACGCAGTGGAAGAGAGACATAGAAGGCACCAGAAACGAATGAAAAGCAGCTTCTGGAGACAAATGATAAGCTGAAAAGAACAAACAAGCTGTTAGGCAACATGTATTTGAGATGCCGAGCGTGGAACTCCTGCAGCTGGTGGGCTGGAGCCCAGATCAGCTGAGCTTCACAACTGTTTTAGACAGCCCTAGGGGAGCTGGAGATGGGTCTCTGGTAGAAGGACTCACTGGTGTCCTCAGAAGAACCAATGGGATAGTCTCGGTGAGAACATTTCCTTTGGTTCCAAAATCCACTCAAGTTACCTGAAAACACGCTTGCTGTTGGCCGTTCAACAGCACTTTTGATCTGAGGAAACTGCCAAACCTCCTGGTAAGAAGAAGATGGAAGATTGCTTGTACAGACCAGTAGGTAAGTGGAAAGAAAAGGACAAGGAGACCTGACACCACCCTGCTATTTGCAGAAGGCATTCAGGTAGTCTCTACATGCACTGCAGCCACCAGCTTGCTGTCAGCTTTGGGTAACACCAAGTGCTTCACCTATGGATTTCAGGCCTGTGTCTGTGAGAGGAACCCAACGGCGTGACCCATGGACAAGCTCTCTGTCCCCTAGAAGCTCCTGTGCCAACATGTGACATTTATATGATCACTGCTGTACATCTCTTCGAGCTTCTGACTCATTTAGACTGCAGTGCTCATGGTGCTGAACAAGGTCAGTGTCTCCCAACACACAACGTAGCTTTGACGAGAAGCATTTTTGCAATGCTGACCAGGTCCCCTGGAAAGCCACACACTAAATCTATTTTTTTTTTAAATAAAAATGATGCATCATTCTGGCACCTTCACCTGTGGCTCATTCACTGACCCCCCGAGTTTCCAGAAGCTGCTGCTGGCCTCAATATTCTGGAAGATTAGAGCACTTTTATAAAGCTGCTTCACAGCATTATTAAAAATCTAGTATTAGGTTAACAGAGGATATTGGCAATAGCTCAAATACAGTTATGTGCACCATGTGGAGGGAAAAAAAAAACAGTAAAGTTGTCAGGGCAAACATTTGGATTTAGGGAACACTGCTCACCTTTACAGAACTTAATGCTGAGCTGATGGGAAAGGAGATTTTTTACCTTGGTCAAAAGCCATAAACTTTTTGGTGAGGTTTTCAACGGGATGGCAAAGGGCATGTTGTGGACAGGGCCATTTCCCCGTGAGAGAGGGCAAGTCTCTGCTCCAAGGCATGGGACGCTTGAGCTTCCCAAGGTGTCAGACCACGTTAACACAAGAAAGAACAAGAAAACCTCCTCCTTTCACCTTCCCATAACCACATGCCCAGAAACGCACAAGCTCTTGTACCTGAAATGTTTCTATCTCCCCTTGAGACACATCTGAAACTTAGAAAATTTCAAACGCAGACAATTTCAAACATCAGCAAAATTAAACAGTGTGTCCTGGGTAGAAAACCCACAGCCTGACATTGTAGCTGTGCTACTGCCTTTGCCTGTAATATGACAAAACACTTCCAGTTCCTCCCAGACAAGCGCCCTTCAGAAAGCTTCCCAGCACATTTCCATCCCTCCCAGGGGCTGTATTTCGATTTTCTCTTTCAGCAGGAGGCCACAAGGGAGAAGAAACGACCTCCCCACATCCCTTTAGCTCATCTCGCCATCTGACGCTGCATCTCAGCTGCTTCAGGGACATTTAGGTGCCTCATTCTGGCTCATGTGAAGGTCCTTCCCACCCATAATGATTCTGTGATTCCACGTCCCTGAGCGTCTCCTGCTGAATCTTCCCTATTTCGTCTTGCTGGCTCTGTGATGGTGACGTGCAGGGACTCGCCAACCATCAGTGGTCATGGATGTGACCAAACCAACCTTACATCTCTCTCCCGAGCTGCTGAAACTCCTTTGCTTACAGCATGGACCACCCGTCACACTCTCTACCGCCTGTTCTTACAGCTGCCTCCTCTTCAGCCTGTCCCAAATCCCGGATTACCGCAGAAGAACAAACACAGGATCCACCTGTCACTCTGCTCAAGATCAGATTATTTTTTAATTAAAAATTTCCTACAAAATAATAATAAAAAAAAGATGAGGATGAGCGAGACCATGAGCAAGTGAGAGGTATGCATTTTTAATTGAGCACAATTAAAAACCTGCCGCTTTGGCATGGCATTGCCTTCGGCCAAGCTCTATTTGCATGAGTGATTATTCACTCCATTACGAAGTCTGCTCAACTTTGCCTCCCTTGTCTTTGAAAGTATTAATAAATATTGATCAGACGCGCTCCTGTTTGCCTTTGCCCAAGTAGCTCTGATGGACTCATCTTCTGATGTTATCAAATAATGAAATATGAAAGAGCGAGGGGGATGAGCCTCTTGTTCTGTGATTTTTTATTTAGGCGCTTCATTTTACTTTCAGGAGTGCATTTGTCCCTGCCATTATAAATGCTCTTTTGATGATCAGGAGGAGGCTGAGGAAAGGGAGCACGTTGGGAATAGGTGGGGGAAATAACTGGACGCCAAGCGAGGGAGATGTCTCCTCAGTGAAATGCTGCCAAACTGTTTTGGTTTCTCATCTGGAGATTTAAAACCGGGGAGAAGAATTAATATTTATCAAAAGTTGATTCTATCATCTGACAAAGAGGTTGATAAATAACAACAGAGCATTAGTTAACCTAACCAAAAACCAAAGCTTGAGAACATGTAAGCTCGTTAATCGTAAGCTCGTTAATCCTAAACAGAGCATTGGCATTGCCTGAGCAGTAAGATCCATCCAGTTCTTAACTGTGAGATGTTTGGGGTAAGAAGAGGATGGATTGAAGGTGATCGCACCAAATCTTTGCTCATCTGAGATGAACTCAAGAAAGCTGCTGATGGGAACACCATCAACTGCTGGTTTGGAAGAAGAAGGAACATTAATCTGAGCCTGAGTCCTTGGCTCTTCGGGATTGTAAAAGTCTGGCCAATGCCTCCATTTACATTCAGTTTCAGGGCTGATGGCCCTGTTTTGGGAGAGTTGGGAGAACTTAGGCATCCAAAGATGAATAGAAGGTGATACCACAGGGAAGATCTCATTTTATGGTTAATACAGGATGCTAAACTAGTTTTGATTGCTAGTATGGCAAGGATTTAAAAAATTCCACCACTATAATGCTCATTCACGGGATTAGTCCTTTTCTCACATCCTGGTGGTCAACCAACCTAGACAACTATGACCTGGTCTCCTCTGACTAAGGGCAATGAGATTTGGTATCTGAAACCAAATATATATATCAAGATATCAAATATATATTTGATATACATATATATAGATACATATATATATATATATATATATCTCAAAGTATCTGAACTGTTCCTTGAATTCTTAGGACAGGCTTTTGAGTCCAAAAACCACATCTCAGAGCAAATGATGCCCAACCCAAAGCCCAAAGACCAATTAACACTTTCTGCTGATTTCTACTGTTAG